GAAAAATCAAGTTTTGAGCACAGTGGGTGTGGTACATTAGAAGAAAGCTTCCAGTAAGAATGTATGAACTTTCTTTCTTAAATATTGCCATTCATGTAATTCAGTTTCCTTAACTTCCAGTCTCTGAGTCTCTTAGTTAATTCTGCCAGGAGAAATTTTACTGATACAGATCAAGAGTAGTAGTGTTGGTGGCGGTGGTGGTGGTGGTGGTTTGCGTGCATTGGAATGGTGTTTGGGGAGTTGGTTTAGTTTTGCTTTAAGAAGTTCTGATGAGAGGTGGAGTGGGTGGGGAGGTTCTTTAGACAAGGCCCTTAGAAATTCAACCTTGAGTTCAGGAAGCAGTTCTCAAAAAACGAAAAATTCTGTGAATCCATCTACCCTATGAGTCTGTTATATAAATATGAAGAGTTAAATATCCAACATTCAAATTGGATTAATAATTTAGTAGCATTCATGAAATCAATATGTTTTGGCAGATAACTTGAGAATATTTATGCTGCATTAGGTTAATATTTCTATGTTTATTTTGTAGCAAATAATTGTTGAATGAGTACAGTTTCCTTTTTCCTTCCTCCCTTCCCCTTGCCCCCCTCCTTTCCCTCCCTTTCTTCCTTCCTCCTGATGATTATCAATTCTTTACTAAATGTGATATAACCTAGCTGAGACTGTTAGAATTTATTTATTTAGGTATATATTTATTTATTGACTATTACAGAAATTTATTTAACAAAGAGTCTAATATGAAAATGTACATGAGCTAAGTTTTACATCATAGTAAAACAGGAGAGGGGGACATGGGTTTTTCTGCTGAACAGCCATGGTTTATGTTCGTTCCAAGGCTTCTAACATGATGATACTATTACTCGCGTTACCACCATTCCAATATTATTCTGTTATCCACTAGTTGCCATCTCTACACATTAATCTATCACAAAATTCATAAAAGCATTGGACATGTCTGCCACCATTTAATTTTCTTTTTTTTTTTTTTTTTTTTTCTCCTGCCTTGGCCTCTCAAAGTGCTGGGATCACAGGCATGAGCCACCGCACCTGGCAATAATGTTATTTTCAAGTAAAGTCAAATTTTCCTCTTGACGAACTAACTAGAAGAAAAGATTCTGAATGTTCTTCCTACAAAGAACATTTGGCTGGGCATTACAGGCATGTACCACCACACCCAGCTAATTTTTGTTTTTCTTTTCTTTTTTTTTTTTTTTTTAACCCAGCTAATTTTTGTATTTATTTATTATTATTTGCAGTAAGCCAAGACCAGCCAATTGCACTCAAGCCTGGGTGACAGAGTGAGACTCTTGTCTTTTTTTTTTTTTTAATGTCTAAAAAAAAAAAAACCAACAAACCCATACAAAACAAGTGTATGTGTTAGTAAATTATTATATAGCAAACTCCTTTGTAACTACAACCTAGATCAAGAAATAGGACTTTGCCATTCACCCCAGAAGGCTTTTCCATGTGTCTCAATTCAGTCATTATTCTTTCCCTCCCCTCATAAATAACCATTTTCCTGCATTATCCTGACTCTTCCTTTTTTTTTTTTTTTTTAGAGATAGGAAAAAAGAATGGGGAGGAAAGAAGGTGGGGCAGAAGAAAAGATTAGATTTTTTTTTTTTTTTTTTTTTTTATAATAAGAAAAAGAATAAAGAAGAGGAAGAAAGAGAAAGAGGAAGAGGGAGAGAGGATGGGGGTATTGCTTTATTGCCCGGGCTAGAATGCAGTCTAAATATGGGTATGCCTATAATTGTCCTTAATAATGGAGACATAAAAGAAAATGAGGGAAGAGAATAACAAACAAGGAGCCAACCAACATTTCGTTTAAACTTCTAAGTCGATATGATATGGTACTGATAAGCGTGTATATTTTGTGTATTTAAAGTGGAGAGTTCTATAAATGTTAATTACGTTTACTTGTTCCAGATCTGAGTTCAAGTCCTGGATATCGTTGTTAATTTTCTGTCTCATTGATCTGTCTAATATTAATGTTGAAGTCTCCTGCTATTATTGTGTGGGAGTCTAAGTCTCTTTATTAGTCTTGTATGTCTGGGTATTCCTGTATTGGGTGCATATATATTTAGGATCTTTAGCTCTTCTTGTTGCATTGATCCTTTTATCATTATATAATGTCCTTCTTTGCTTCTTTGGATCTTTGTTGCTTTAACGACTATTTTATCAGAGGCAAAAATTGTAACTTCTGCTTTTTATTTATTTATTTTAGTTCTCTGGTTGGTTGGTAAATCTTTCTCCATCCCTTTTTTTGAGTCTTTTTGTATCCTTGAATGTGAGATGGGTCTGGACGCAGCATACTGATCGATTTAGTTTTTTATTCAAATTGCCTGTCTGTCTTTGGATTGGGGGATTTAGTCAATTTAAATTTAGAATTAATAATGATATATGTGAGTTTAATACCATTTAATATTAGCTGGCTATTTTGTCCCATTAGTTGATGTAAATTCTTCATTATATTGATGCTCTTTTTGGTATTTTTTAGAAAGGCTGATACTGTTTGTTCCTTTCTATGTGTAGTGGTTCTTTCAGAAGCTCTTGCAAAGCAGGCCTGGTGGTAATGAAATCTCTGAGTGCTTGCTTGTTCGCAAAAAACTTTATTTTTCCTTCACTTATGAAGCTTAGTTTGGCTGGATGTGAAATTCTTGGTTGAAAGTTCTTTTCTTTAAGGGTGTCGAATATTGGTCCCCACTCTCTTCTGGCTTGTAGGGTTTCTGCTGAGAGATCTGCTGTAAGTCTGATAGACTTCCCTTTGTGGGTAACCTGACCTTTCTCTCTGGCTGCCCTTAGTATTTTCTCCTTTATTTCAACCCTGGTGAATCTGACAATTATGTGCCTTGGGGTTGCTCTTCTTGAGGAATATCTTTGTGGTGTTCTCTGTATTACCTGAAGTTGAATATTATCCTGCCTTACTAGGTTGGGAGAATTTTCCTGAATAATATCCTGAAGCGTATTTTCCAGCTTGGATTCATTCTCTTCGTCACATTCAGGTACACCTATCAAGCGTAGGTTAGGTCTTTTCACATAGTCCCATATTTCTTGGAGACTTTGCTCATTCCTTTTTATGCTTTTTTCTCTAATCTTGTCTACTTGTTTTATCTCATTGAGTTGGTCTTCGACCTCTGATATCCTTTCTTCTGCTTGATCAATTCGGCTGTTAAAACTTGTGCATACGGCCGGGCGCGGTGGCTCAAGCCTGTAATCCCAGCACTTTGGGAGGCCGAGGCGGGTGGATCACGAGGTCAAGAGATCAAGACCATCCTGGTCAGCAAGGTGAAACCTCGTCTCTACTAAAAATACAAAAAGTTAGCTGGGCATGGTGGTGCGTGCCTGTAATCCCAGCTACTCAGGAGGCTGAGACAGGAGAATTGCCTGAACCCAGGAGGCGGAGGTTGCGGTGAGCCGAGATCGCGCCATTGCACTCCAGCCTGGGTAACAAGAGCGAAACTCCGCCTCAAAAAAAAAAAAAAAAAAAAAAAAAAAAAAAAAAAAAAAAAAAAAACTTGTGCATACTTCACGTAGTTCTCGTATTGTGTTTTTCAGCTCCATCAATTCACTTATTTTCCTCTCTAAATTTTGTATTCTTGTTGACATTTCATCAAACCTTTTTTCAAAGTTCTTAGTTTCTTTAGATTGTGTTAGAACAAGTTCTTTTGATTCACAGAAGTTTCTTATTATCCACATTTTGAAGCCTGCTTCTGTAATTGGAACACACTCGTTCTCCATCAAGCCTTGTTTCGTTGCTGATGAGGACCTGTGATCCCCTGCTGAGGGAGAGGCGTTCTGATCTTGGGTATTCTCAGCCTTTTTTGGCTGTTTTCTTCCCTTCATTGTAGATTTATCCATCTGTGGTCTTTATAATTACCGTCTTTGTAACTGGGTTTCTGAGTGGACGTCCAGCTTACTGATTCTCAGCGCCGAAATCTTAGCAACTCACTGCGCCAACTAAATCAGCGGCCTTAAGATTGATGGTGCTTTTCTGACTCTGCACCAAGAACCGACGCTCCGAGGCGCCGGCAAAACCGCCTCGCCAGTCACAAAAGTCGCGCTGGCGACCCGTGGGGCTTCTCCGCTGGGAATCTCCTGGTGCGTGAGCAACAAATATTCATGTGAAGGTATGGCGTCCTCTCATTCTTTGCTCTTTCACTGGGAGCTACAGTCCCGAGCTGCTAGTGATCAGCCATCTTGGATCTCTCTATCGCCACCATTTAATTTTCAATGATAACTTCTTGCCCATACATTTTTTCAACTCTGGAAGGTGAGCTTTGCTCATGGCATCTACTCCACACGTTCACAGATGCCTTGGAATGGAATGCTGGAAGAATTTATGTTAATATATCTTCTATTCTCGACTGCTTTTGTTTTGCTATTTTTAATTTACTCATTTAATACTTTTACAGTATGCCTAATTATTTAATTACTTTTTTTACTATGTAATACATAAATAAAAACCACGAAGAAAATAAAAGTTGTCCTTAATTCCATTGCTAATTTTAAAAATTCTATCTAGTCTTCCTTCTGTGCATATAAAGAGGATGTTCATTTAAGCCAAACTTTATATATATTTACTTTTTTGGAAAAGACAAACTGCCTTTCAGAAATTGTGGTCTGGGTGCAGTGGCTCATGCCTGTAATCCAGGCACTTTAAGAGGCCACAGTGGGTGGATCACCTGAGGTCAGGAGTTTGAGACCAGCCTGACCAACATGGTGAAACCCCATCTCTACTAAAAATACGAAATTTGGCTGAGCATGGTGGCAGGTGCCTGTAATCCCAGCTACTCAGGAGGCTGAAGCAGGAGAATTGCCTGAACCCAGGAGGCGGAGGTTGCGGTGAGCCGAGATTGCGCCATTGCACTCCAGCCTGGGCAACAAGAGCGAAACTCCGTCTCAAAAAAAACAAAACAAAACAAAAACAAACAAACAAAAAATTATGTGCGGTTTACTGTGTGGCTCCAGGTTTGTTTGTTTTTCCTCCTTAATAGGTTTATTCAGAAAACATGTCCACTGCAATTAGGGAGGTGGGAGTTTGGAGACAGACCAGAACACTCCTACTGAAGAATTACTTAATTAAATGCCGAACTAAAAAGAGTAGTGTTCAGGTAAGTTAAATAACTCTTTCCTATGCTTTGTTGCAGTTCATTTTGCTTGATAGGTTCTATCTTGAAGTAGTGATTTATTTTGCTAAATTTTTTTTATAACTTTATTTCCTTTTCTTGTAAAGTAGAAGCTTGCCATATTAGCCACAGAAAAATAACTGAATTACCTAATGCTTTCTAAATGCTAAAAATTCTAATAATGATTTCTACATTTAGTTAATTTTAATATCAGTGCTTAATTTTGAACTTTTAGGGGATGTGTTTCCTAAGTTTCATGAACTAACATTCCAAAATAATTTTGATTCCAGAGTTTTATTCCCCACAACCTCATATTTTATGGAGTCTAGATTGAGTTGTCCATGAGTATTAATATTATAACACTGATTTGTACCCACAACATACATACATTACTTTTAATAAAGGTAAAAGAAAGGAAGAACTTTGGCTAACCAGCCAGTAATAATTTCAAAGGATGAATATATATTTTTCATCTTCTCCTGAAACCAGTAAAACAATTAAACAGCAAGATGATATAATAGCTGATTTCTACTAAAACTGACCATAGAATTTGAGTATGATTTTGATAGTATACATTTAGTTATAATTAAATTATGATTTCTAATTCAGAATCGAATAAATACATTTTTATGGTGAATCCATATAGGGAGGTTTGGTAAATTGCTTTAGATAAAATTGTATGAGTGAATTTATTATACTTTATGGAAATAATCTAAGACATTTAAGTATTATCTTTTATGTCATCTTAATTATGTGACTTGAATTTTAAAGTATTTCAGTAAAACTAAATTCAAAGGAAAAAATCATTTAATATGCCTGTTGGGTTTGATGAGGTGGGTGTTCAACACAATAATTCTTTTGAGATAGAATTGCTTTTACTTTTTATTCATAAGAAAGGACAACCAAATTTCTTTTTTTTTCTTAGTATTATATTTGCAAAGAAATCTTGATTTTTGCAGCTATTGTTATACTTTGTAATTACTTTGTTTCTTTTATTGTAGGAAATTCTTTTTCCACTATTTTTTTTATTTTGGTTAATTTTAATTAGCATGATGCATCCAAATAAGAAATATGAAGAAGTGCCTGATATAGAACTTAATCCTATGGACAAATTTATTCTTTCTAATCTAATTCTTGGGTATACTCCAGTGACTAACATTACAAGCAGCATCATGCAGAAAGTGTCTACTGATCACCTTCCTGATGGTATTGTGAGCTTATATATATTCTATTTATAATACTAAACATGTTCAATATTTATCAGCTTGCTTTACTGAATAAATAGTAGTCTTAACACTTAGACATGTGTTCCTCTGCCAAAGTATAGTTTTATAAAAATGCTAAAATTGTTTAATTCTTTTGCCTTTTCTTGTGAAACATTAATTTATATTCTTGGTGATAGGAAACAGTTGTACTTTTATATGTAATTCTTACATATTTATAAAATAGTTTAAGTATACTTGTATAAGAAACAAGATTTGATGAGTTATTTCATTTTGATTCTGACTCTCATATAATTCTGAAGCTAGAAATGTTTAGCTGAATGTGGTAGCACGTACCTGTAGTTCCAGCTACTCAGAAGGTTGAGGAGGGGGGATCCCTTGAGCCCAGGAGTTTGGGTCTGCAATGAACTATGATCGTGCCACTTCATTCCAGCACTCCTTACTCTGGGCAACAGAATTAAATAATTTTAGCATTTTTATAAATAAAAAATTAAAACAAATTTAAAAAGAAGCTAGAAATATGTGATAAAGACTGTAGTCACCTTTTCAGCTTATTATGCTTGTTTATGGAAGTATATGGTGTAAACTGAAGAAGTACCTAACTTTGGAGACTACAACTACGACTATGGTTAAGTCTCTAACTCTGCTTTATATATATATATGTATATACACACATACACACACACACACACACATGCGCTGTCTCTAACTCTGTTTTATATATATATGTGTATATTTGTAGAGATGGGATCTTGCTTTGTTGCCCAGGTTGGTCTCATCTCCTGGGCTCAAGCGATCTTCCTCCCTTGGCCTCTCAAAAGTGTCACCTAAGTCTTTTTCTTAATGTGTACTTCTTACAAAGAAGTGAACTAGAAGACAGTGTAAGCAGTGAGGTGCCAGTGAACTGAAAGTGGCTGTGAGAGAACCTAAATCAAAACCTGGAGAAAGTGACAGAAATTCTTATACTATTAATAATTAAACGATAAAGTGCTGAATTATAGAAAATAACAGATCAGCATGTTATTTTTTGCCATATGGGATAGTTGTAATTAACTTACATTTCATCACATTATTGGATTATACATCATTGAATGGGAAGTGTTAATTATACAGTCAGAACCCAAGTAACTTTTATTCCATTGGTTTCTTTCTCTACTTATTTCTATTTAATATTTTGATTAAACACACTTCTTATTGTTATATGTTAGTGTATCATATTAGGCACAAGTAGCATAGATTACCATGAGAATTTAGTGTACAAGCTCAAAAAGCTGATTAAAAATATTGAAATGAAATTCATTGGTAATTCTGATTAGGAGGAAAGAGTATAAACCAAAGAAATGTGTGGCCAGATGTGGTGACAAACACCTGTAATCCCAGCACTTTGGGAGGCCAAGGTGGGTGGATCACCTGAGGTCAGGACTGTGAGACCAACTGGCCAACATGGTGAAACCCTGTTTCTACTAAAAATACAAAAAAAATAGTCAAGCATGGTGGCAGATGCCTGTAATCCCAGCTGCTTGGGAGGCTGAGGCAGGAGAATTGCTTGAACCCAGGATGCGGTGGTTGCAGTGAGCTGAGATTGTGCCACTGCATTCAAGCCTAGGTGACAGAGTGGGACTCTGTCTCAAGAAAAAAAGAAAAAAAAAAAAAAGAAGAAATGTAAGTCAGTATGTATTAACTTAGATGCCAAAATAATGGGAATATACATATACACATGTTTTAGACTTCTGTATTTTTAACAGCAGAACTATGTGAAAATGGGTTATGCATACATACATAACATGACTGGTAGGATGTTGAACTAACATGCTGTTTATTCATGCAAATCCTGGAGTTCCCTGTCCTTCTTAAAGGGCCTGGAAAATCTTACTAATTAACATTTAAGTAATATTTTATAATCTACAAAGTATTTTTTTCTTCTTCTTTTTTTTGAGATGTGATCTTACTGTCAAGCTAGTGTGCAGTACTGTGATCTCAGCTCACTGCAGCCTCTGCCTCCTGGGCTCAAGTGATACTCCTGCTTCAGCCTCCTGAATAGCAGGGTGACACTACCATGCCTGGCTAATTTTTGTGTTTTTGTAGAGACAGGGTTTTGCCATGCTACCCAGGCTGGCCTTGAACTCCTGGAGTCAAGCAGTCTACCTGCTTCTACTTTCCAAAGTGCTGGCGTTATAGGCGTGAGCCACCAGACCCAGGCTACAAAGCATTTTGTATGTTACTTCACTTGTTCTTCACAACAACCCAGTGTCATCAGCTAGGCATTGTAGATGAGGACACTAAAGTTTTAGGAGTTTCAATCACCTGTCTGTGCTCACACAGTTCATAAATGATGAAGTTAAGTGCTAATTCTATATTCTTTCCATTTCATCACATATTTGAAGCTTCTATAGTGAAGATTATTTGCTTGTAAACAAAACTACAAGAAAGTATTTAAAAATTAGTCTTATCTGATGAGAAAGAGTGATTACAGTATTTTTTCCACATATATCCTAAGAAAGGAATGAGCAATATTGGATTTGAATGACAATTTTTATTTAAGGAGGAGTCGTGTCATAGTTAATAAAATGCCTACTTGGTTTCTAAGGATTATGGAATTTTCTTTATAAGAAATATTTGAAAATAAAAAATGCATATATTTACTAAAAAGTTACTTTTGTGCAGGCGCAGTGGCTTATACCTGTAACCAGCTAGTCAGGAGGCTGAGGTGGGAGTAACACTTGAAGCCAGGAGTTCAAGACCAGCTTGGGAAACATAGTGACACCTCATCTCTACAAAAATTGAAAACAAAAAATCAGCCAGGCATGGTGATGAGTGCCTGTAGACCCATCTCTACTCCAGAGGCTGAGGTGAGAGGGTCTCTTGACACCTGAAGTTCGAGTGTAAGATCCCATGTACTGCAGCGTGGGCAACAGAACAAAACTCTGACTCTAAAAAGATATAAGATGAAACAGTTATTTTTTTAGTTTTACTTCAAGATAGATAAAGAACTGCATTACTAACAATTTTTATAATTTTATTGCTGCCTGAAGTTAGTTTAGTATAATTCATTGAAGTTTTAGGAAGCAGCAATTTCTTGATGAAATATGAGTTCTGCATATTTTTTGTACTATATTTCATCATGTTTATAACATAAGTATAATACTGACACATTTCTGTAATCAAATGACAGCTGAGTAGGGTCTGCAATATTGTACCATTTTATTGTTTATTATTATTTTGTTGGAAGAATTGTCTTTTTTTTTTTTTTTTTAAACATGGTCTTACTCTGTTGCCTGAGCTGGAGTGCAGTTGCTCAATTATGGCTCACGGCAGCCTCGACCTTTCAGGCTCAAGTGATCCTCCCACCTCAGCCTCCCAAGTAGCTGAGACTACAGGTACACATCACCACACCTGGCTAATTTTTATTTTTTGTAGAGATGAAACCTCATGATGTTGCCCAGGTTGGACTTGAACTTCTGACTCAAGCAATCCTCCTGTCTTGGTCTCCCAAAGTGTTGGGATTATAGGTGTGAGCCACTATGCCTGGCCTGTCTTCATTTTTAAAGAAGCAAATATAGCAAAAGTGCTTATAAAATACTCCATTTATTAAAAATAATTGTAAACTTGATCTACTATATTATAGTATTTTAATTTGTGAGCTAACTATATTATTATGATATCTTACAGTCATAATTACTGAAGAATATTCAAATGAAAAAGAAATGTTAACAGCCAGTCTTTCTAAGCCCAGCAACTTTGTAGGTGTGGTTTTCAAAGACTCCATGTCCTATGAACTTCGTTTTTTTCCTGATATGATTCCCGTATCTTCTATTTATATGGATTCAAGAGGTAAACAGCTCTACATAATCATTGAAGATCAATTAAATGCATATCTTTGCACTTGTAGTTCAGAATCAAAATTTGATATAGTTCAATATTGGCATTTTCAACTAATCTTACTTGTTCCAATAGGAAAATTAAGAAGTGTAGCATAAAAATATTTATTTATAAATACCTATCTACTGCTACACATAAAATATTTTTATATAATATCCATTTTGATGTAATACATGTATATATGTTAAATACAGTAGCATAAAGCAAAATTGCATTTTGGGTTATGTGACTTTCTCTTTTTTTTTCATGTAATTGCTTTTACTTTTGGCATAGTACACATCTTTAAAATCTTAAGTTCTTTTACTAGTGAACTTTATTAGTTTTATATTTGAAACATGGAAAACAACCTTTGGTTGTTTAAACCTATGAAGAAATATTATCAACCACAAATATTTATTGAGCAATATTAAAATTACTATGCTAAATACTGAATTTGTGACTTTATTTCAAAAAGTTGCATTGTAAACTTGATCTATGTTATGGTATTTTAATTTGTGAGCTAACTATATTGTTATGATATCTTTATAGTCATAATTACTGAAGAATATATAAATGAAAAAGAAATGTTAACATCCAGTCTTTCTAAGCTCAGCGACTTTGTAGGTGTGGTTTTCAAAGACTACGTGTCCTGTGAACTTACTTTTCCTTGCTTCTGGAAGTGCTTTGGAGCTAAGTCATGTAGAATGACCTACTTTAAAGCAAAAAAGTAACTTATTTTAAATAACTACAATTAATTTTTTCTTTACATTTTTATGCATTTACTTTTCAGTATTCTAACACATGTAACTTTTATTTCAAAATTTCAAGTGAATAATCAGAAATCTTATAGATATTGTCTACCTTTACAAGTCAGTAGCTTATTTCTTTTTTTTGAGACGGAGTTTCGCTCTTGTTGCCCAGGCTCGAGTGCAATGGCGCGATCTCGGCTTACCGCAAACTCCGCCTCCTGGTCCTGGGTTCAGGCAATTCTCCTGCCTCAGCCTCCTGGGTAGCTGGGATTACAGGCACATGCCACCATGCCCAGCTAATTTTTAGTATTTTTAGTAGAGACGGGGTTTCACCATGTTGACCAGGATGGCCTCGATCTCTTGACCTCATGATCCACCCGCCTCGGCCTCCCAAAGTGCTGGGATTACAGGCTTGAGCCACCGCGCCTGGCCATCAGTAGCTTATTTCTTTGGTCCTATAAAGATTGATTGATTTTATTACTTTGGTAACCCTCCATGTAATATCTTTAAAACAATGCACTTGCGTGTTCTACAGAATCTTAGATCTCATATTTTTCTCCCCATAGGTGGCTGTTCAAAATCATGTGAGGCTACTCAGTACTGGTCCTCAGGTTTCACAGTTTTACAAGCATCCTTAGATGCTGCCATTATACAGGTAAATATGATAAAGGAAGAAATACAAAAATGAAGCCATTTTAAAATAAATATTTCCTAATTCTTTACAATAGTATTTGGTTTGGCTACTATAAAATACACTAAATATGTAACTTACCACAACTCCTTTAAGAAAAAAGATTAAAAAGTCATATTATCTCATCTAGTACTTTTTGTTGTGTTTCATATTTTAGCAGAAAAAACTAGCCATGAAATTTATTTTTAAAAATTTTACTTTTGTGTCTAGCCTAGATAGCAGTAGATGAAGTTACCTTAGTTAGAATTCAAATGGTTCAAATTAACCATATTTCATTCTTCCATGTTCTGAATAGATCTGTGGCTTTTTTTTTTTCTATTTGCTCTTTCTAATTGGATTTACTATGCTACAAAATTTACTATGCTACAAAATATTGTAATTTCAATGTATATCAACCATCTTCTCTACTAAACTATATGTTTAAAGTATGTATCAATAATGATAGAACTAGAATGAAAACCTGAACAGGAGCCCTGTCTCTCTTGTTACACTGCAATGTAGTAAAATGACTGTAATAATAATACTTGATAGCATTGTCATAAGAACCAAATGAGATGATTTATGTAGAATTGTCTTGTAAACTTTTGCAATAGAGTATAAACGTATTGGGGACATATAATATTATATAAATTCAATAACACAGAAATTTAAGGTAAAGATAGTGAAATATTAGGTCTATTACACTGATGATATTATGTCACCTACTGGTGTTTTGGCCAAAGTTTTTAGCTATTCACAGCCCAGACCACACTGGATGAATATGCAGGAAAGATTCCAATTTAGGCATTAATTAGAATGTTAGAAGTATTATATGGCATAAATAGTTTTCTTATTTGGTCTATATGTGATACACATACAGACTTTAAAGCAATAAAAGGGCATGGTATTTAAAAGAACATTTTTTATACAATCATAGGATTGATGGCACTAAAAATTATTCCTAAATTTCTAAATTTTGAAGATGTGTATTTTTACTAAGATACATATAATTGTCTGCTTAAGATGATAATTGTGCAATTTTATTTGACAAATCAAAATTTATGCACTTACTGACTTTAAACGTTATGGTGTACCTTTAGAATAAATTGAAAACAATATTCTACTCTGAATTATGATACTGGGGTTACTCACTTTATTTCACATATGTAGCTTTTTGAGGATTATATTTATACTAGGTTATTGACGAAATTTAGGGATATAGCTGTCCCATTTTATTAGGGTATACTATCATAATGAAATTAATTGAATGTGTTTACATTTTTAAATTATAGTTGAAGACCAATGTTTCTCTTTGGAAGGAGCTGGAGTCAACTAAAGCTGTTATTATGGGAGAAACTGCTGCTGTAGAAATAGATACCTTTCCCCGAGGAGTAATTTTAATATACCTCATTATAGCATTTTCACCTTTTGGATACTTTTTGGCAATTCATATCGTAGCAGAAAAAGAAAAAAAAATAAAAGAATTTTTAAAGATAATGGGACTTCATGATACTGCCTTTTGGTATGTTATTAAAAATTTGTTACTTAACATAATTAAAAATTGTATTAAATATATATATTTTCAGAATTGTAATTTTGCTATTTACCTAACTTGATGAAGTGCTTATCATGTTTTCTTACAATGATTGCCTTAGTCTTGGAATTTGAAATTAGTTAACAAACTTCAATAATTAATTGGCTTCTTTTTTTTTTTTTTTTTTTTTTTTTTTTTTGAGACGGAGTTTCGCTCTTGTTACCCAGGCTGGAGTGCAATGGCGCGATCTCAGGATCTCGGCTCACCGCAACCTCCACCTCCTGGGTTCAGGCAATTCTCCTGTCTCAGCCTCCTGAGTAGCTGGGAAATTGGCTTCTTTTAACATAAGGGATGAAGAATATGGAAAGTTCGTGTTGACAACATGTGTAAATTTCATTTCACTTTTTTTTGAATCATGGGCACGCTCCATGTATATTTCAGAATATTTCAATATGCTCCGTGTACATTTCTGTGTATTTCAGAATTTGGAAAATGTGAAATCTTGGAACATTAGAAATTGCCTGTTACAGTTCTTCCATAATATAGCTTATATATGGTATTAAAAATTCAGTTACAGTAATTAAAATCTGAATATGTAGTATATGGACTTTTTTTCTCTTGAAGGTTTTTGTTATTTGGGTGAACTAAGATGAATATGCAAATAATTTTAGAGAAAGATATGAGAAAAATATGTTTTCACAAGTGAACTTTAATGTATCAGCATTTTTATACAGTGATAATTTTATAAAGGCATGAATTTTTATAAATAATTCTAAGTGTAGTTTCCTTACTCTTTCCATGGTGTAATGAAGTTCGTTCTGGGGGAAAGGTTAATACTGTGCATGTGAGCTGTTATTGTAGTCTGTTTTACAAAATTTTATCCCAATTAGCCCAATGTAACAATTAATTATAACACTTTACATAATGGGGTTAGTATATGACATATTTCCTTTGCTTGTTTTTCTTTGATTTGTTATTTTAGAAAGTATGGGTTTTGGGTTTTTTTTTTTAAGACAGGGTCTTCCTCTGTCACCTAGGCTGGAGTACGGTGGTATGATCATGGGTCACTCACTGTGGCCTCAAACTCCCTGGCTCAAGAGATTCTCACACCTCAGCCTCTCAAGTAGCTGGGACTACAGGGGCATGCTGTCATACCCAACTAATTTTTAAATTTTTTGTACAGACTGGTCTCAAAGTGTTGGCCTCAAGTGATCCTTTCATCTCGGCCTCCCAAAGTGCTGGGATTATAGGCATGAACCACTGTGCCTGGCCAAAGGATTGGTTTTTAAGATTTATTGGGTTATTAAAGTATTTTATGGAGAACCGGTAGCTGGAAGAATTTAGGCAAATTGTTCTCTCAGGCTCTCAGTTTTGCCTTTGTAAAATGATGCATTCTATTTTGATCATTTTGCTACCACTTTAGACTTAACTCTATGATTTTATGACATCATATGAGCTAACTTGAAAAAATATGTAAAATAAAAATACTGCAGCAATTCCATTGAGCTCTGATTTGTAAAGAAGTCTTGAGTAAAAATAGTGAATTTATTACTGATCTTGTTGATTTCACATTGCGTAATTGTAGTATTATATCATTAATTAGTAAGGTAAGGTAGTCTTTATAGTTACAGAAGCCATCAGAGGTTTAATTGTAGCACATGCCATGAAGAAAATTATCTTGACTCATTAAACTTCTGTATTTTAAGAAAATCAGAGATATTATATGCTATTGAACTTTTGAGAGTATTCAATTTAAATTAATTATGAATTACTCTTCATTTTGAAAGCTCTTTTGACTCTGGAAGATAGTATTTTTATCACATTATACTTTTACCTATCCTTTTTTTTTTTTTTTTTGAGACGGAGTTTCGCTCTTGTTACCCAGGCTGGAGTGCAATGGCGCGATCTTGGCTCACCGCAACCTCCGCCTCCTGGGTTCAGGCAATTCTCCTGCCTCAGCTTCCTCAGTAGCTGGGATTACAGGCACGCGCCACCATGCCCAGCTAATTTTTTGTATTTTTAGTAGAGACGGGGTTACACCATGTTGACCAGGATGGTCTCGATCTCCTCATCCCGTGATCCACCCACCTCGGCCTCCCAAAGTGCTGGGATTACAGGCGTGAGCCACCGCACCCGGCCTTTTACCTATTCTTTAACCAATACTTTATTTTTAACTGCTTATAAGACTATTGATTTTCAATGCATAAGCATACACAGAAATGAACAGCGGCTTAATTTTGAGAGTACAATGGCTAAAATCTAAATTTTGTTTAAAATGATATTTTAACTGCCTAAGCCTATGCATTTGACCATAAATATATCTGTATTCTCATTTTAGGCTTTCCTGGGTTCTCCTGTATACAAGTTTAATTTTTCTTATGTCCCTTCTTATGGCAGTCATTGCAACAGCTTCTTTGTTATTTCCTCAAAGTAGCAGCATTGTGATATTTCTGCTTTTTTTCCTTTATGGATTATCATCTGTAAGTATTTTAACTTGGGATGGGAATAAAGAACTGTCAGAATGTTTGATATAATAACAAGGTCTTTTTTTTCAGTTTGCTTATAGTCAATTTGCCATGAAAGACAGATTTTACTAAGTTATTGATAAATGACTTAATAAATAAATGATATAGCATCACTGTATCCCTGTATTTTTAAGAAAGTTACAAAATAGTTTTAGGTTTAGATTTAGCTTATTTTCATATGATGTATTTTACATACAACTCCTCTGAGTCTGTTATTGTCTTTATATATTGATGTATATAATTAAGACTGTTAAGTATTAGACTGCTTTTGTCTTCATGAAATTCTTACTTTTTCAAGTTAATTTATATACCAGGATGATGATGATTTTTATTTTTTCAGATGGAGTCTTGCTCTGTCACCAGCCTGTGTCACAGTGGCACAATCTGGGCTCACTGCAAATTCTGCCTCTCGGGTTCAAGCGATTCTTCTGCCTCAGCCTTCCAAGTAGCTGGGACTACAGGAATGCACCACCACTCCTTGCTAATTTTTGTGTTTTTAGTGGAGATGGAGTTTCACCATGTTGGTCAGGATGGTCTGGATCTCTTGACCTCGTGATCTGCCCGCCTCAACCTCCCAAAGGGCTGGGATTACAGAAGTGAGCCACCTCGCCTGGCCCAGGATGATGATTTTTAAAGCTATGTCTTTGCAAATGTAGCTCTTTAGCAGTGTTGATAATCATTTGGCATATTGTCTGAATGATGAGTTTTAACCACCAGCCTTTGTTTTAAGTGGTTCCATCTTCCTTTCTGATTGGTTTATGTGCCTATCATGTACGAGTTGTTAAATATTTTGACTGTTATCCCTGCTCTTTAAAATAATAAATTATAGCCGGGCACAGTGGCTCACGCCTGTAATCCCAGCTCTTTGGGAGGCCGAGGTGGGTGGATCACAAGGTCAAGAGATCAAGACCATCCTGGCCAACATAGTGAAACCCCGTCTCTACTGAAAATACAAAAATTAGTTGGGCATTTGGCATGCGTCTGTAGTCCCAGCTACTTGGGAGGCTGAGGCGGAAGAATTGCTTGAACCCGGGAGGCGGAGGTTGCAGTGAGCCGAGACTGTGCCACTGTCCTTCAGCCTGGTGACAGAGCAAGACTCCGTCTCAATAATAATAATAATAATAATAGTAATAAATTACAAACAACTAACATACTTTCATATGTAATTTCCTGTTTGTTTTTTTTTTAATTTTTGTTTTGAGATAGGGTCTTGCTCTGTGGCCCAGACTGGAGTGCAGTGGCACACTCATAGCTCCTTGCAGCCTTGACCTCCCAGGCTCAAGCAGTCCTTCAGCCTCAGCCTCCTGAGTAGCTGGACTACTATGAAAAAGGAAAACAAACAAACAAACACATATATACAATATATATATGTTTTTGTTGTTTTTTTTTTTTTTTTTTTTTTTTTTTTTTGGTAGAATCAAGGTCTTCCTATGTGTCCAGGTTTGGTCTCCTGGGCTCAAGTTATCCACTTGCATCTGCCTCCCAAAGTGCCGGGATTACATAAGTGAGCCACCTGCACCAGGCCTCCTGGTTTTTTTTTGTTTTTGTTTTTGTTTTCTTTTTAAACTGGCTTTTTAAGTTATGAATATATTAAGTTTAAAAGATGGGTCTTGTACTTAAAATTTTTGTTGATTTATTTTTGTTCACATATTTTGTACATCTTACTGCAGAAATACATGGCCATTTATGGTTTCTATAATGTAGAGGTGGTCGTGTTTACCTATGATAACTATGATACAGATAAAAATGCAGTCTTTAATGTTTGTTAGTTTAGGGCTAGGTGCGGTGGCTCACACCTGTAATGCCAGCACTTTGGGAGGCCGAGGCAGGAGGATTGCTTGAGGCAAGGAGTTTGAGACCAGCCTGGGCAACATGGTAAAACCCTGTCTCTACAAAAAAATACTAAAATTAGCTGGACGTGGTGGCCCATTCCTGTAATCCAACTACTCAGGAGGCTGAGATGAGAGGATCACTTGAACCTATGAGGTAGAGGTTACAGTGAGCCAAGATTGCACCACTGGACTTCAGCTAGAGTAGCAGATCAAGACCCTGGCTCAAAAACAAAAACAAAAATCACAAAAGTATATGTTAGTTTAAATTTTTTAAGTGTTTATCACTATTTGTATGAAAATAAAATATCTTCCTATAGCATTTAGAAATTATAATTGTATTTTAATGAATGTATTTTTCATGAAAATAGCTTCTTTCACAAGCAAACTTTAATTTTGTTTTCATAACAGTGTATATGAACATTGCACTAACCTTAATATTTATATTTTCTAGGTATTTTTTGCTTTAATGCTGACACCTCTTTTTAAAAAATCAAAACATGTGGGAATAGTTGAATTTTTTGTCACTGTGGCTTTTGGATTTATTGGCCTTATGATAATCCTCATAGAAAGTTTTCCTAAATCATTAGTATGGCTTTTCAGTCCTTTATGTCACTGTACTTTTGTGATTGGTATCGCACAGGTAGGTAATATATTAATCTTGCATTCACTAAATATTTTCTTTCTGTTTTATGTAGCTCCTTATACTACCATGAATGCTACCTTTGTTTACAAAAAAAAATTATTTTAAAATTTTAGCGTGAGAAAGAAATGATTTCTGGAGTATATTTTATATCTAGTTTTCTTTATATTTTCTCCAATTTTTTTAGTTAAATGTGCTGTTTATAAATTTTTCACTTTTTACTTCAATGTATCTCAGTAATTTATTTCACTTCAGAAAGTCAGTTTGATAGTAGTTTGTTTAAATGTCAAGTAATTCTTATTGCCCTATAGGCTGATTATACTGCTACCATTTATACATTTATCTCAGAATAATGCATGGGAAAAAATTGTGTGGGAAGCAGAACAAATTTATTGTGAGTGTAGTGGTGAAATAAGTAGGCCTGGTGGATTTTTTTGGCCCAGGCTTCATGGAATTGCCATTTATCTAAATAACATTCAGACTTATAAATATTATTTTTATTGGTCCTTACAGGGGTAGTCAGGTTCTAAATAAAAGAAATCTTATAAGAAACTGCTTTTCTGTAAGTAAGCAGCCATTTAAAAAAAGAAAGAAAGAAATGCTTTATAGTGGAACGTAAATTGAGCTAATGTACAGAGAAAAAATGTAATTACTAAATATAAGAAATGACTCATGTTGGTTGGATAGAAATTCTGATTGATGAGATACAATTAAATATTGAGTTAATCATTTTACTTATTTCTGACCTAAGAGTGATTGTTATAAATTTTGAGAGTTCACCGAGTCCCCCTTCTCTAGAAATGTAGAATTACAGATTCATAGGTTTTTGTTGTGAGTGGGATGGCCTTTCAGTGTCATTGAATTCATCTTCATTTTATAGATGAGGAAACTGAAGCCTAGAATAGTATAATTAAAGTATATTCACTTAATGGCAGGGCTATGACCTAAATGACACTTCAACCCCCAGTACACTTCTTTTTCCACAATATCACAAATACCTACTATGAATATTTTAATAATTGTGTTAATTAATCAAAATACCTGCTTCCTTTTTACTATTAGAAGGATGCTAACCATAATTTTATTCTCCAGTACTTACTTTGTTTGGCTTCCATATGGATCATAACCCTTTTTTTAGCATTTGTAATTATTAATATTGCAGTTTATTTTTATTTAATTTGTTAGTAATTACAAACAACTTAAATAAAATTAAAAATAAACTGCAATATTAATATTAAAAATATTAAAACTGCAATATTAAAAATTCACTCTAGGGGCATTTAGTAATTAAATGCCCCTAGAGTGAATATATCCTAGTTAAAGAAGTACAGCATTAAAAATGATTGAAAGGAATTGTTTTGATAAACATATTTTTGTAAAGTCTTGTTTTCCTTATAAATTTATCTTATTAATTTGGTAAACTGTTTAATCTGTTAAAAGTTTGGTTACTGTCACTCTACATATACTGAATAACTCTAAGTAGTGTTAGCTTTTGCTTGTGTTTGTCATTTTTATGTAATAAAATTAGTGTTTCTATTTTTCAGGTCATGTATTTAGAAGATTTTAATGAAGGTGCTTTATTTTCAAATTTGACTGCAGGCCCATATCCTCTAATTATTACAATTATAATGCTCACACTTAACAGTATATTCTATGTCCTCTTGGCTGTCTATCTCGATCAAGTTATTCCAGGTATGCAGGTGGTTATTGAATTTTACTTTAAAGATTTTTTGGCTTTTTTACTCACATAGGGTCAGCTTAATTTTAAGTTTTTTTGTTTTTTTGTTTTTTCCCTAAGCAGGGTACCCTAAGTCATATTCATTGTTAAAGCTTTTAATTTGATTTTAAATAGGTATATTTTATACCTTAGGCTGTAGCCACTTGTGACCATAAAGAGATTGTGTAAAAAGAGAGCAGTTTGTTTTGAAAGCGTTAAGTGTGTAGTGGATCTTAACTTGGTCCCTCTTTATATCAGTCTTTTTAAATTAAGTATTTTATTTTACCCTGTAAGGTCCAAACCTGTGAGCCACTTGTGACTATAAAGAGATTGTGTAAAAAGAGAGCAGTTTGTTTTGAAAGCGTTAAGTGTGTAGTGGATCTTAACTTGGTCCCTCTTTATATCAGTCTTTTTAAATTAAGTATTTTATTTTACCCTGTAAGGTCCAAACCTGTGAAGTGATCTCGTAACTCTTTATCTTCTGTCCACATCTATAGCCAATATAGCAAACTCCTATAGATTCAATAGTAGTATTAAGTATCTAGCACTTTTTCTTTTCCCCTTGTATTCCTCATTACCTGTGTCTGTATTCTACACCTGGGCTGTCATATATGGTAACTACTAGCCATGTGTGGCTTTTAAAATTTCAATTGATTAAAATTAAATCAATTAACAATTTATTTTTTTCAGTAGCACAAGCCACATTCCAAGTGCTCACTCAGTAGCCATATATGGCTGTTAGTTACTAAATTGTATGGTGCGATCTAGATGTTCTATGGAACATTTTCACCATTATGAAAGTTGTACTGTGTAATACTACTCTAGTTTAGGGGTTCCCGACTTCCAGGACAAGGACCTCAGTAGTTGCCTCTTAGGAACAGGGCTGCACAGCAGGAAATGAGTGGTGGGCAAGCAAGAGAAACTTCATATGTATTCACAGCTGCACCTCATCGCTCACATTACCACCTGAGCTCTCCCTCCTGTCAGATCAGCAGTGGCAGCATCAGATTCTTATAGGAGTGTGAACTCTATTATGAAATGCGCATGTGAGGGATCTAGGTTGTATGCTTCTTTTTCTTTTCTTTTCTTTTCTTTTTTTTTTTTAAGACAGGGTTTCACCATGTTGGTCAGGCTGGTCTTGAACTCCCAACCTCAGGTGATCCGCCCGCCTTGGTCTCCAAAGTGCTTGGATTATAGGTGTGAGCCACCACGCCCAGCCAGTTGTATGCTTCTTATGAGAATCTAATGTCCGATGATCTGTCACTGTCTCCCATCACCCCCACTTGGGACCATCTGGTTGCAGAAAAACAAGCTCAGAGCTCCTACTGCTTCTATATTATAGAGAGTTGTATAATTATTTCATTAACATTACAGTGTAATAATAATAGAGTGCACAATAAATGTAATACATTTGAATCATCCTGAAACTATCCTTGCCCCTTGTCTGTGAAAAATTGTCTACCATAAAACTGGTACCTGGTGCCACAAAGGCTGGGGACCACTATTCTAGACCATTGTAGTACCTCTCATCTAGTTATATACCTCAAGTCTGTCTGAACACTTCACCTCTTTTTTTGAGATTTTTATTATTATTATTACTGTTTTTTGTTTCAATAGGGTTTTGGGAGATAGGTGGCATTTGGTAACATGAATAAGTTTTTTATTGCACTCATCACCCAAGCAGTGTACACTGTACTCAGTGTGTAGTCTTTTATCCCTCTCCCCGCTCCCACCTTTTCCCTGAGTCCCCATCATCTATTGTATAGTTCTTATGTCTTTTCATCCTCATAGCTTAGCTCCCACTTATGAGTGATAATATATGATTTTTGGTTTTCTATTCCTGAGTTACTTCACTTAGAGTGATGGTCTCCATTTCCATCCAGGTTCCTGCAAATAGCATTATTTTGTTCCTTTTTATGGATAAGTAGTATATATGGTATGTGTTGTTTGTGTGTGTGTGTGTGTGTGTGTCACATTTTCTTTATCCAGTCGTTGGCTGATGGACATTTAGGCTGGTTTCATATTTTTGCAATTGTGAATTGTGCTGTTATAAACCTGCATGGGAAAGTATCTTTTTCACAGAATGACTTCATTTATTCTGGGTAGACGCCTAGGAGTGGGATTGCTGGATCAAATTGTAGACTTACTTTTAGTTCTTTAAGGAATTTCCACACTGTTTTTTTATGGTGGTTTTACTAGTTTACATTCCTATCAACAGTGTAAAAGTGTTCCCTTTCACCACATCCACACCAGCATCTATCACTTTTTGATGTTTTGATTATGGCCATTCTTTCAGGAGTAAGGTGATACTGCATTGCACTTTTGATATGCATTTCCCTGATCATTAGTGATGTTGAGCATTTTTTTGTTTGTTGCCCATTTGTATATGTTCTTCTGAGAGTTGTCTATTCATGTGCTTAGCCTACTTTTTGATGGGATCATTTGTTTTGTTCTTGCTGATGTTTGAGTTCCTCGTAGAGTCTAGGTATTAGTCCTTTGTCAGTGTATATATTGCAAAGACTTTCTCGTACTCTGTGGGTTGTCTGTTAACTGCTGATTATTTCTTTTGCTATGGAGGTTTTTAGTTTAATTAAGTCCCATCTATTTATCTTTGTTTTTGTTGCATTTGCTTTTTGGTTCTTGGTCATGAAATCTTTGCCTAAGCCAACATCTGGAAGGGTTTTTCTTATGTTATCTTCTCGAATTTTTATGGTTTCAGGTCTTAGATTTAAATCTTTGATCTGTTTTGAGTTGATTTTTGTATAGGGTGAGAGATGAGAATCCAGTTTCATTCTTCTCTATGTGGAATGCCAGTTATCCCAGCATTTGTTGAATAGGGTGTCCTTTCCCTACTTTATGTTTTTGTTTGCTTGCTGTTAGAGCAGTAACAGTTGCCAGTGGGAATGCCACATACTGGTAAAATAAATTGGAATCCCCTGTACTTGGCATCAGATTCCTTTGAAACATGGCCAATCTAGAAGAGTAGACATTTGAAAAAAATAGAGTGTAGGTATTTTGAGGGGAAAAAGGGAGAAAATGGAACATGTTCTGTGGGCAGTTATCACTGTATGCTATTGCTTCCTTCCCTCCCTCCCTTCCTTCCTTCTTTCCTTCCTTCCTTCCTTCTTTCCTTCCTTCTTTCTTTTCTATTCTTTTCTTTCTTTTCTTTTTCTTTTCAGTCAGGATCTTACTGTGTTTTCCATGCTGGAGTGTAGTGGCACAATCATGGCTCACTGCAGCCTTAGTCTCCTGGGCTCCTGTAATCCCCTTGCCTCAGCCTCTCAAGTAGCTGGGACTGCAGGCATGCACCACCACATCTGACTAATTTGTTGTATTTTTTGTAGAGACAAGGTTTTGCCATATTGCCTAGGCAGATCTCAAACTCCTGGGCCCAAGCAATCTGCCAGCCTCTGCCTTCCAAAGTGTTGGGATTATAGGTGAGAGCCACCATGCCTGGCCTCACTGTATACCATTTCCAAGTCTAATATTTCTATCCTGCTGCTTTGTTGCTCCCCCTAATTCTAGAGTCTTTTCCACGAAGCATGTTATTCTTCTAGATACTACTTGTTTTCAAAGACCATTTAAGGTGGTGCCCATTCAAGTCTTCAGTGCATTCTGCCTGTGTTGTGTTCTTTGCCATTTGCTATCTACTTGTACTCATAAAGGTATTAGTTTCTTTAGCACAGAAAATGTGTTTTATTCACCTTTACATCACCCTATATTCTCCAAAACTCTGAAACTATTTATGGACTAGAATTATTTATCAGTAAAACTTTGATTTATGTAATATTGATGTAATACTTTACACCTAAACTTTATTTCCTTATTACTTTTAAATGACAAATGAAAATTGTATATATTTATTGTGTACAACGTGATGTTTGGAAATATATATATGTTGCAAAACGGTACCTAAACTTTAGATGAAGGTTGTCATATGTTTCAAATACTGTCTTTATGACTTAAAAACTAATGATAACTCAGTTTTTTAATGTTTATTTTTCAGGGGAATTTGGCTTACGGAGATCATCTTTATATTTTCTGAAACCGTCATATTGGTCAAAGAGTAAAAGAAATTATAAGGAGTTATCAGAGGGCAATGTTAATGGGAATATTAATTTTAGTGAAATTATTGAGCCTGTTTCTTCGGAATTTATAGGAAAAGAAGCCATAAGGTATGATTCAATCTTTGGCAATTTAGGTATAAGAACTGCTGATGGAACCTGCTGCATTTAAATCCTATTCTTTAAATATGTATGTAAATTTGGTATCTTAGATTTGGTATGTATGCCATGATTTTAAAACATTAATAGGGCTGACTTCTCTTTTTCTTATTTTGTTTGTGACCATTTAGAATAAAGTTGGTGCTAGTTTTGAAATTTTATGTTTGTTTGTTTGTTTCTTTCTTTCTGTCTTTTCTTTCTTTTCTTTCTTTCTTTCTTTCTTGATAGAATCTTGCTCAGTCGCCCAGTCTGGAGCACAGTGGCACAATCTCGGCTCGCTGTAACCTCTGCCTCCCAGATTCAAACAATTCTTATGCCTCAGCCTCCCAAGTAGCTGGGTCTACAAGCATGTGCCACCATGCCTGGCTAATTTTTATATTTTTAGCAGAGATGGGGTTTCACCATGTTGGCCAGACTGGTCTTGAATTCCTGGCCTCAAGTGATCCACCTGCCTTGGCCTCCCAAAGTGCTGGCATTACAGGTGTGAGCCACCCCACCTGTCCCTGAAATTTTATGTTTGAATGGAAATTTTTAAAAGTAATAAAACCTGATGTTTATGCAATTAAATAATGTTTATAGATTTTCCCATTATGTAGACTGAAACATGATAAATATTAACTCTATAATTTTATTCATGCTACTTTGTCTTATACAACATGTTAAAGTGTCTTCTGTTAATTTTATAGTACTTCTAGGGTTTTGTGACATAATTAGAATATTACATTAATTTTTTTTTTTTTTTTGAGATGTAGTTTCACTCTTGTTGCCCAGGCTGGAGTGCAGTGGTGCAGTCTCGGCTTACCTGCAACCTCCACCTTCTGAGTTCAAGTTATTCTCCTGCCTGAGCCTCCCAAGTAGCTGGGATTACAGGCATGCACCACCACGCTCTGCTAATTTTGTATTTTTAATAGAGATGGGATTTCACCATGTTGGCCAGACTGGTCTTGATCTCTTGATCTTAGGTGATTCGCTTGCCTCAGCCCCTCAAAGTGCTGAGATTACAGGCGTGAGCCACCACGGCTGGCCTACTTTAATTTTTAAGAACCAAAGAAATTCATTAGTGTTCTTGCTAGGTCAGTCAGTACCAAATTTAGAAATAAAATAAGGAGAAAGAAAATAAAATGAAATAAAAAAGTGAAGCATAATATTTTTAAAATTTAAGAAAAATGTAAAAATTCCAGAGAGAATCCAAATACTTAATATGTAATTTGTTGGCCATTGGTTTCCTTTACCAAGGGTAAATTTTAACTGATTAACAAATCATTTCCTTGAAAAAAAAATGAAAAAAAAAAGTTAGAATAAGAAAAACACTTCACATTTATTAATGGTTTGAAATGTGTGCTGACATGAAATAGTATCTGTTTTTATATCCCCCTTCACTGATGTAACAAGTGTTTGATAATCAGAAATAAAAGAAATCCATAAATTGGCTTAAATCAAATGTTTCACTTAGTTTTAGAAGCTGAGTTGGCATGAAAAATGAGTCAGTGACACTTAGAATGGAAAGAAATACTGTGCTTTTCTCTGGCAGCTTCTTTAAAATAATTTTATAATTGATCTCTGAAAAACACAAGTATGAACTGCACCAGTTCACTTACACATGGATTTTTTTCAATAAACATTGGAAAATTTTTTGGAGATTTGCAACAATTTGAAAAAACTCGCAGATGAACTGTTAGCCTAGAAATATTAAATAATAATAATAATAAGTTAGGTATGTCATGAATGCATAAAATATTTATAGATGTTTGTCTATTTTAACATTTACAATCATAAAATATGCACAGATCTATTCTACAAAGTTATACTTTATCAAAACTTAATACACGTGATTCTGACAGACCATACATTATGCCAATGCATGGTTGAGAGAAAGTAAACAAATGTGAAGATGCAGTATTAAATCATAACTGCACAAAGTTAACCACAGTATTACTGTACATTGTAATAATTTTGTAGCACTTTCTTTTCCTGTGATGGTGAGCTTAAGTGTTCCAAGTATATACTTCAAATGCCTTGAGATGACTCAAATTATTTCCTTGTGAGCAGTTCATCTCTCCAGTAAATTGCATATCATGATAAAAATTAATGTCTCAGGGTTCTTGCTTATTTTTTATCATGTTTAGTGCAATACTTCAAGCTTTGAATAGCATTATGGGATACATAGGAATTGCCACTAGTGATGCTGGAAGTGCTCTTAAGAAGCAGAGAAAGGTCATGACATTATAAGAAAAAGCTGAACTGCTTGATACATATCATAGATTGAGGTTTGAGAGTACAGATGTCTGCCATTTTGAATAGACTATGTATCTTATTCAACTTATAAACAGATGGTGTAAACCAGGCATCCCCAAACTACGGCCCGCGGGCCGCATGCGGCCCCCTGAGGCCATTTATCCGGCCCCCCGCCGCACTTCAGGAAGGGGCACCTCTTTCATTGGTGGTCAGTGAGAGGAGCACAGTATGTGGCGGCCCTCCAACGGTCTGAGGGACAGTGAACTGGCCCCCTGTGTAAAAAGTTTGGGGATGCCTGGTGTAAACTGATAGCATCGATAAATATAGTATAGTACTGTAAACATATATATTTTCCGTATAATGTTTGTAACATTTTCTTTCCTCTAGTGTACTTTATAAGAATATAGTATTTAACATTTAAAACCTGCAAAATATATGCTAACTCACTGTTTATGTTATCTTCAGGGCTTCCTATCAACAGTAGCCTGGTAGTAGATTAGTTTTGGGGGAGTGAAAACTTTTTTGTGGATTTTCAACTGTGTAGCAGGGGGAGTTGGCACTCCTAATCTGTGTTTTCAAGCATCAGTTGTATAGTTATTATCAGCTTTCTTTGGTTCATTGTTTTAGTTGGAAAGTACTTTATTATTATTTTATTCTTATAAAATGTGATAGCTTTGATAAAAATATTATACATGTAAACACATATAAATTGCTTTAAATAATTAAAATATAAAACTCCATTTTTCAGAATTAGTGGTATTCAGAAGACATACAGAAAGAAAGGTGAAAATGTGGAGGCTTTGAGAAGTAAGTAGCTTTCCCAGTATTCAGGCCATAGTATTAAAGTACAAATAGAAAAATAATTTGCATAGCTTGTGGGAAATTTAAACTTCTCTACCAAATTTTCTGTCTTGCTTTTTTTTTCCCCCCCGAGTTGGAGTCTGGCTCTTGTTGTCCAGGCTAGAGTGAAGTGGCACGATCTCAGCTCACTGTAACCTTCGCCTCCCGGGTTCAAGTGATTCTCCCACCCCAGTCTCCCAAGTAGCTGGGATTACAGGCACCCGCTATCATGCCCAGCTAATTTTTATATTTTTGTAGAGTTGGAATTTCACCATGTTGGCCAGGCTGGTCTCAAACTCCTGACCTTGGGTGATCTGCCCGCCTCAGCCTCTTAAAGTGCTGGGATTACAGGTGTGAGTCACCACACCTGGCCTCTGTCTTGCTTTTTGAGATAACTTCCATTTATGTGATTAATATTTAATAACATGAAATTTGTAAAAGTAAAAAATAATATCTATTAAGATGAAAAATAATTATTTGAATAAGCCTATGTCATTATTTTATTTTATTATTTTGCATGTATACAATACATGTTAGTTACTTTTTAAAAAATTTGTTTGGCCTATTATAGGGTTTTTCAGCCTCAGCCCTACTGACATTTTTGTCCTGATAATTCTTTGCTGTAGAGAACTGTTCTTTATTGTAGATTGTTTAGCATTGTGTCAATGTGTTAGTCCCCAGAACCAAGAGATTACACACACACACACACACACACACACACACACACACACACACACACACACACATAGTATGAGTACAGGGTGGGGGATTAGGGGAAGTTTGTTTTAAGTAATTACTTCATGAGATCGTGGGCCTGGTAAGTGCAGAAATCTAAAAGGCAGGTTGGAAACTCAGGCAAGAGATTGAAGTTTCAGTCTTAAGTTAAAAATCTGTAGAGAGGCTGACAGGCTGCAAACTCATGTAGGAATCTATTACATTCTTGAGGTAGGACTCTTCCAAGAAACCTCAGTTTTTTCTCTTAAGGCCTTCAACTGATTGGATAATGTTTACCATTATTATCAAGAGTAATCTAGTTTAAGTCAGATGATTATAAAAGTTAATGACATCTACAGCAACATCTACATCAGTATTTTACCAAATAACTGTACACTGTAGCCTAGCCAGGGGGACCCTGAAAATTAACCTTCACCAGCAGCATCCCTGGCTTTGATCACCAAAGAGAGAAGGAGTTCTGCTTCAAGAATGTAACACATTCTTGCATGAGTTTCCAGCCTGTCAGCCTATGAATTTTGGACTCAAGACTGCAACTTTAATTTTTGCCCAAGTTTTCAACCTGCCCTACGTATTTTCAAACTTACTAGACCCCACCATCTTTTGAAGCAGTTCCTTAAAATAAACCTTCCCTAATCCCCCAACCCCACACTCATACTTGTTCCATTGTGTGTAGTCTCTTGGTTCTGGAGACTGACTGACACACTGATAAACATTCCTAGCTTCTGCCCACCATGTGCCTGAGCAAACCCCCTTTCCTAGTTGTAACAACCAAAAATGTCTCCAGGCTTTACCAAATGTCTGCTAGGAGACAAATTAAAGAATAAAGTAGGTATAGTGGTATATTAATAGGGTTTTAGTTTGCATTTGCCTAATGTTATTAATCACCTTTTTATATGATTATTGGCATTTGGAGGTTTTTCTTTATTAAACACCTATGCAAGTTCTTTTCACATTTTGGTTTTTAAAACCTTTGTTAGATACAGGTATTTAAATATTTATCTCAGTCTGAGGCTTGCCTTTTAATTCTAGTAATAGTGTCTTTTGATGAACGCAAGTTCTTAATTTCAATGAAGTCCAGTTTATGAATCTTTTCTTTTATAGTTATAGTGCTTTTCAAGTCTTTTTATTCAACATTGGAAATTATGTGTGGCCTCAAATGTAAAGTTACTGTAATAACTAATTAATTATAATAATAATTATAATAACAATTACAACTAATTGTTTCTAATGCAAAGAAGCAAGAGAATGAAATAAAAGGCATCCAGATTGGAAAAGATGCAGTTAAATTATTTATGTGCAGTTGACATAATAGTCTGTTTTTAAAATCTTTTAGATCAACAAAGAAAATAGTGGAACTAAACAGTGAGTTTTGCAAGATGATAGGATACATGATAAATAATGGAAAAATCAATTATATTTCTATATGTTACCAACACATAATTGGAAATTAAAATTAAAAATAGCATTTAGCATAAAAAATATCCTTACAGGTAAATAAGACAAAAGATATAAAAGATACATCCTGAAAAGTACAAAACATTGCTGAGACAAATTAAAGAAGACTGAAATAAATAGAGAGAAATACCATGTTAATGGGGCAGAACACGTAACATTTGGTTATTGAGTTCCCTTTCATCTTTTAACTTAGATGACTGGCCTTAGGATCTGAGACTTTTTCCTTCTTGTTTTATATTTTAGCCCTCTTAGCCTAGTTTTTGTTGTTGTTTGTTTGTTTTTGAGACAGGGTCTTGCTCTGTCCCCCAGGCTGGAGTATAGTGGCACAATCTTGGCTCATCACTGCCCTGACTTCCTAGGATCAGGTGATTCTCCCACCTCAGCCTCCCGAGTAGCTGGGACTACAGGTGCCACCACATCTAGCTAATTTTTGTATTTTTTTAGAGACAGGGTTTCACCATGTTGCCCAGGCTAGTCTCGAACTCCTGGGCTCAAGTGATCCTCCCGCCTCAGCCTCCCGAAGGGTTAGGATTACAGGCGTGAGCCACTGTGCCTGGCCAGCCTAATTTTTTTACCAAGCCATTTCTGCTTCGTCATTTCAGATCCCTGTCTCCTGTCTTCCTTTAGTCCTTTACATTATCCATTCAGTGATATTGCTTCTTAAATCTAACCTTTCAAACCATTTCTATAGTGTTAACTGCTTTTTTTTTTTTTTGCCAGTTTATTTAAATGCCTATAAATATCCTTGGGAACAAATTTTTGTTTGTTTTAATTCCCTTGGCAATGCCCAAAAATTGGGACACAGAAAACTCCCAAATATTTTGTATACTCCTAAATCTTACCGTATGAATAAATAAAGCTGATTTTTATTTACTTTCCTTACTGTTATTGACTGTAACAAAGAAGCTATTTTACCTGCTATAAAATATGCTGGTAACTTTAAATATGTATTTATAGATATATCAACTTGAAGATTGCGCAGTTATTATGAATTATCATGCATAGCTGAACAGACATAAAAATCACATTTGAGTCTTTTTTTCTGAACTAGATTTGTCATTTGACATATATGAGGGTCAGATTACTGCCTTGCTTGGCCACAGTGGAACAGGAAAGAGTACACTGATGAATATTCTTTGTGGACTATGCCCACCTTCTGATGGTGAGAGTTTTGTGTCTTAGAGGAAGAAAAGACACTTACATATATATTTAAATGTGTGTGTGTGTGTGTGTGTGTGTGTGTGTGTGTGTGTGTTTAAATATGTTGAATAATTCTTGTCAGTGATTAGGACCAACTTCTATATCCAGTAAAGGTGTTTTCTTTTTTTCTTGACTACACATGTGGTTGTTTTTAGTAGAAGATAAAAATTATTCTATCATGTTTAATAAAGTAAAAAGGATCTAATTTTGTACATATTTCTATATATATACACACATACAACATACATCTGTATGTTGCGTATGTGTGTGTGTTTATTCATCATTTTCAAGGAAGGATAAATGAGTAACTTATTGGAAATTAAATCAGAGCTATAGACTGGGATTGAGAAAATGAATATAGATATCTAGATATATAGGAGTAGTTCAAAAGGAAATAATCATAAATGTTCATACTATCTTCTAAAATAGAATTTTAAAGGCATACCTCAAAAGTATAATTTTGATATGTGATTGTTCTTTAGGCAAGAATTCAATACAGTAGCTCCATATTTTGACAGTAATTAGAGTGGCAGTACAATAAATATTTTACTTTACTAAGGGCCTGAATTGTATTGAATCTGCCTTTCAACTCTTTAAATATTGTTTAACTTTTAAAATTAGTTTGGTTTTGTTATTTGTCTTTAGTTGTATCACTTTTTGATGGTAGCCATATCTTACATTTATATAAGAATTTATGATTTTTCTTATGATTCTTCATAATATATGATTGTTTTGATTTAATAGTTCTTTAGTGGGATATATTAGTGTTCACTTTATAGAAAAGGAAAGCTGGAATTAAAAGAGATTAAGTAATTTGGCCATGACCACACAGCTAGCTAGGATAAAATTTATAGTTCTTTAATCACTCCACTATTGCATAATGTCCACAAAATTGTTACTGGAATACAAGTGTAAATAATATATCAATAGATATACATGTTTAGCATCAAGCTTTTAGTTTCTTGATTTTCCCACTATGTTATATGACCTATAAGTGATGGAAAATGAGATAGAAATATAAGTGGATGCAGATCATCAATAACATGGAAAAGAGGGTATATTGTGTCTTGTAAATTTATATTAATTTTTTAACTTATATGTCTATTATGAACTAAATAACTAAGTTTCAGGATACTTCAAACCATACACATTTAAAATAATTAATGTACATTTAAATATATATTTTGCTTTTAGGGTTTGCATCTATATATGGACACAGAGTCTCAGAAATAGATGAAATGTTTGAAGCAAGAAAAATGATTGGCATTTGTCCACAGTTAGATATACACTTTGATGTTTTGACAGTAGAAGAAAATTTATCAATTTTGGCTTCAATCAAAGGGATACCAGCCAACAATATAATACAAGAAGTATGTTATTCATATAGAAATCTGCTTTTATTTTCTGTAATTAATAACCTTTTGTAATGACTTGTGCAATAAAAATATGCTTGCAAATCTAAATATAACACTTGTCTCAAGCCAATAAACAGAAAGCTATTACAAAGAATTAGACAGAATTTGGAGTAAATATTTTAGCAAACATAAAAGTTTGTTTCATCTGGAGGATGCTTGTCTGCCATACTCCTCCCTTCTCTTCCTCTCATCTCCTCTACTCTCTCCTACTTCCACACAGACACTAAGAGCCCTCACAGTGATCCCTTCTACTCAAGAAGATAACAAAAGTAAAACCTTTCCCTCAAGAATCTTGTTACCTGTTGTTTTCATAATTATATATGAATATATGTCAAAGCAAGTTCCATGCTAAAGGAACATTTTAAAAGTTGATATTAAAATTATTTAAAAACATATGTTACTTAAATATTTAACATATTAAAACTTAAAATATTTAAAAAGTAATATTGATAATTACATAAATGATATGATTTAAAAATAACATTAGTCATGCTTTACTTTTACAGGTGCAGAAGGTTTTACTAGATTTAGACATGCAGACTATCAAAGATAACCAAGCTAAAAAATTAAGTGGTGGTCAAAAGAGAAAGCTGTCATTAGGAATTGCTGTTCTTGGGAACCCAAAGGTAAATAAATATTAGTTTTACAAATGAGATTATTTTAAATTATGTCAAATTAAAAAGCAGGTTATAGAAAGATATGCATTATGTAAAGGTTAAGTATATACATAAAATATATGCTATTAGGGATGTAATCACAGTAATAAGATTTTAAAACCAAAGTCAGAAAGATGTATAACTTTTTTTTTTTTAATTTTTAGTAGTTTTTGAGGTACTAGAGCGTTTTGGTTACATGGATGAACTATGTAGTGATGAATTCTGAGATTTTAGTGTACCCATCTCCTGAGTAGTTTACATTGTACTCAATATGCAGATTTTTTTTTATTCCTCACCCTCCTTCCACCCTTCTCTTTCTGAGTTACGACATTTTTATGATAACTAGTTACTTTTAGGAAGGAGAATGGAAGAATAGACCTTAGTTATGACTGCTGTGCTTGCTTGCTTTCCTTCTTTCTTTCTTTCTTTCTTTTTCTTTCTTTCTTCTTTTTTTTTTAATCTGTAGAGATGAGATCTTGCTATATTGCCTAGGCTAGTCTTGAACTCCTTATCTCAAGCAATCCAGCTGCCTTTGCCTTCCAAAGTGTTGGGATTACAGGCATGAGCCACCACGCCTGGGCTCCATGTTTTATTTCTTTAAAAAATTATCTGAAGAAAACGTGGCCAAAAATAACATTGCTGAATTGGAATGGTAGCTTTAGTAGTATTACTCTCTTGTTCTCTTTAGTTTAAAAATATATTTGTTATAATCAAAGGAATAATTCAGTTTGTCACTGTCTTCTGCTTTGATTTTGTATATATTTGTTTTATGCTGTTCTCTGTCATAGAAACAGATAAACAACTGATGTACTTCTTTACACAAGGCGTTAAAACTAACAGGTTCATGCAGCTAGGATGACCATCCTGGGTTTAGTGATGCCCTAGGAAAACTCATAGGACTCAGCACATAGTCATACTCATTGCTATGATTTATTATAGCAGCTAGAAAGATCTCCTATTGATTCCCACCATCTTGCCACATTCTCCCTTGCTGTTGCAACTGGGAATGATTCTGGATCCTGGCTTTATGTTACTTAGTCTTCCTCTCAGCCCCCATCACCATGGTTTTTTTTTTGTTTTTTTTTTTTTAAATTAAAAATAGTCTTGAAACAAATTGTTTCCCTTGAACTAATATAAAACCATATATTCTTCTCCAAAAAAGCAAGTGTTACATCTATAAATGTAATTGTTAAGGATAATAACAATATACTTAATGTTGTTATTTAGATTATTTATCTGTCATTATGCTTTTGTCTTATATATCACAGACAGTCTTTTGGAATTAAACCAGGGAAAATATTCACATGACAAATTTATAATTTAAAAAATTTATGTGAGTGCAACTATGAATGAAAAAAGAAATCTGATCTATTATATTCTGATTGAAAATAATAACTTGGAGCAGTTTTTTAGTGTCTACATGCATTTTTAATATTTAGTTTTTCTGAGGATTCTCTTTTTATACAGATACTGCTGCTAGATGAACCAACAGCTGGAATGGACCCCTGTTCTCGACATATTGTTTGGAATCTTTTAAAATACAGAAAAGCCAATCGGGTGACAGTGTTCAGTACTCATTTCATGGATGAAGCTGACATTCTTGCAGGTGAGATTTTTGCTTTATTTTTGAAGGCTGAGATCATGGGCCAAAAGGAAGATAGACATAGAGATGCTAATCCCTGAGGTATAAATAGAGAAGCTTTTACCTAGAGGTATATTTCCTTCACAAAAAAAGTTTTAAAAATTTTAAAGTGATATATTTTTTGTGTTGAGCATCTCCAAGACCATTCCAAGTTTAATGATGTCCTAGGAGAACTCAGAGGACTCAGCACATAGTCATACTCGTGGCTGATTTATTACAGCAAAAGGATACAGAGCAAAATTAGCAAAGAGAAAAGGTATATAAGGCAAAGTCTAGAAGAAACCAGATGGAAGCTTCCAAGAGTTCTCTTCCAGTAGAGCAGACAGATGTACTTTAATTTCTTCAGCATTGAATTGTAACAACATGTGTGAAATATCTACTTGGGTAAGTTAGTATATACTCAATGTTCAAGATTCTTACTGGGTGCTGGTCACATAAGCATTTCTGCCTAGCACATACCAAAGTTTCAGATTCCCAGAAGTAAAAAAGGTATTCAGCATAAACCACATTGTTTGTACAGTTTAGGCAGTGAACCACCCTTATTTGTTTTGAGAATAGTAGGAATCCTCCCAAATCCAAGTTCTCATCTAACAGCCAAGGGCCAACCTTGTAAGCAGGTCTAAGGATAGAAGCCTCCGACCTGCTATGTTAACTCTTTTCTGCACAATTTTATATATATACATACATACAAAGAATCAAAGTTAAAGTCAACACATCACTTTTAATAGCTATGACAAGATACAGAAGTTTGAAATTCTAGAGCAACTTCTGTCTGCTTATAATTATAAGCTAATAAAATTGGGCAAGTCATTAATGTCTTTAGTAGTATCTTTGTTTTAAAAAATCCAACAAACTAATATTTGTTCTTCTTATTCTGTTGATTTTTGGAGTTATTTCTACATTTGGTTATAAAGGAAATTGTGAAAGTGCTTGCACTGGTAAGGCTTTTAGGAAAAATCAGATATTTGGAATAATAAATGGCAATTGGACTCCAGAGTCAGACTGCTTGAGTATACTTCCTGGCTTTGTTACTTAATAGCCACATGAAACATATATAAGGAATCTATTTTCTTTTTGCCTTAGTATTCATATCTGAAAAATAGTTGATAATTTTTTATGTTAAAAAACGTAAAAGTAATTGTGTTACTTTGTTGTCAAGAAAAAAAGAAATTGCTTGTAGACCTCCTGAGAATAAGGCATATATTTATGTTTGTATACATTCTCAGGTTCTTTTCTAGTTTCATCCTCATAAGATTGCTGTGATGATTAATGATATCATAACATGGATGGCTTTAATATGAGAAACCATAAAACATAAATGCCAGTTATTAATGCTGTTGATAACTTAGAAATTGAAATGTAAATATTTATCTGCAGATAGGAAAGCTGTGATATCACAAGGAATGCTGAAATGTGTTGGTTCTTCAATTTTCCTCAAAAGTAAATGGGGGATTGGCTACCGCCTGAGGTATCATTGAGTTTTATTAACATTATTCTATATTATACTCTTGATATACTGTTATTATTTTGGAGTCTTGCTGTTGTATGCTTTGACCATCTTTGATGGCACTAAATTTAATTTAAAGCCTTTATAATTTACTTTTGGCTGTTTATTGTGTAATCATTAATTGTGATTTTTGGTATTCTCTAGCATGTACATAGACAAATTTTGTGCCACAGAATCTCTTTCTTCACTGGTTAAACAACATATACCTGGAGCTACTTTATTACAACAGAATGACCAACAACTTGTGTATAGCTTGCCTTTCAAGGACATGGACAAATTTTCAGGTATTACTTGCTCTGTCTCTTGGTGTTTGAATTGGGATCTTACACTGGGAATAGATTTTATTGATACCCTTTTTGTTTCTGTCTCCACGTAGTATTGCCATGCTCCCAGGTGGCCAGAATTAATATTCTGTTTCTGCTTTATTTTGTTTTTGAAAACTAGAAAAAATACAGTGAATTTTTTTTGTTGTTACAAACACCATGTAAGAAATGGTAACTAATATATTAAATACTTAAGAAAATGTTAAAAAACGTAAAAATAATTGTGTTTACTTTGTTGTCAAGAAAAAAAAGTTGCTTGTAGGCCTCCTGAGAGTAAGGCATATATGTATGTTTGTATACATTCTCGGGTTCTTTTCTAGTTTCATGATTTCATAATGAATTACATGACAAATCCTTGAATCCTTTTAATTGAGGCTTATTTTTTAAATTTTTAATGAGGAACTCAAACTCAGTCTCCTTCCTCTGTTTAGGAATTGCATGATAGCCAAAAGGATGTTATTGATATAAGTATATTGTGCAGAATTTTCATAGCATTTATCTCATAATCAGAAAAATTAGAAAAAAAAAAAAAAAGAAATCACAAATTAAGTGGACTGAAGTACACTTGCCAACTTAATGTGCTCTGCCTATCATTCTATCTACTTATACCTACCTACCTCCTATTCTTTGGTAATGTTTATATAGTGCTTATTTTCTACCAAATGCTGATCTGTGCTTTTTGCAATTATTAGTTTATTTCATTATCCCAATATTTCAATAAATACATGAGATAAGTACTATTATTGCTTTCATTTTGCAAATGAAGAAACTAAGGCACTTGCCCAAGGTAACACAGGTAGAAAGTGGTGAAGCTGAGTCTTGAACCCAGGCAGATTGATTCCAGAACTCCTGTTTTTCACCACCATATTTTGTTTGTTGTCTTTTATATTTCTTTGATAAATTGTTATGGTATTACACTGGATTTCACAGTGTCTTCTGGGATCTCCTGCAGGATGGACCCTAAGACCTCTTAAAGGAATTCACAATGTCAACAGTTTTTCTAATAATAACAAAATGTTATTTGTCTTATGGACTCTCAGCTTCTCATGATTAGACAGTGTTTTCAAGAAACTGCATAATAAGTAATATCACTACAGACTGAATGCAGAAACAAGTATGAGAACCTATCAGTCCTCTGTTAAGACAGGCATTAAAGAGATTTGCAGAAATATAAAACAATATTCTCTTCTCATTATTTTTGTAGTTTTTAAAAATAAAATTGTGCTAACCTATAATAGGTTTATTTTTATTTTTGAAAGAATAAGTATTTAAATGATTTCTGTATATTTTCTAGTATACATATTTATTTTAATGTTTACTATAGTAACATTCTCAATTTTAATTTCAAATACTGTAAAATTTTTGTTAATTTATAATATGATAAATATCTAATAGGTATATTCTCATAAATAAAATTTCTTTGAGCTCTGTAATATTTATAAGAATGTTAATCCTGTTCCTTAGGCACTATCACAGCTCACTACAGCCTCAAACTCCTGGGCTCAAGTGATCCTCCCACCTCAGCCTCCTGAGTAGCTAAGACTACAGGCTTGCATCAGTATGCCTAGCTAATTTATTTTTATTTTTTATAGAGCTGGGTCTTGGTATGTTGCATAGGCTGTCCATGAACGTAACCTATTTTTAAAGGATATTTTACAATAATTTATGATAATATGCTTAACGATATACTATTCTTTCATTTTTTTTTTCTTTCAGGTTTGTTTTCTGCCCTAGACAGTCATTCAAATTTGGGTATCATTTCTTATGGTGTTTCCATGACGACTTTGGAAGATGTATTTTTAAAGCTAGAAGTTGAAGCAGAAATTGACCAAGCAGGTAAAAACAGAACTAACGAAACACTTTAGACAATAAACCAGACAGATTGTGAATAAGACAAAAATTATATAAATGCCAACTTTATATTATTTTTGGGAAGAAAGGGTAGAAATAAATAACTAAATAAGTAATGAGATACTGATAGTGATAGGAGTTTTGCAGGAAATAATGAGGTGGTCTTAGAAGGCAGTGAACTTAGATTATATCATCAGGAAGGACTTTGTTGAGATGATACTTGACCTGAGGCCTGGGTAACAAAAAGATCAAGTAGGTGAATATTTTAGGGCAGAAATTTTAGATAAAGAGAACTGCAACTGCAAAGTTACTAACTGAGGAATGAATTGGATGTCTTTGAGGGATACAAAAAGGCCACCGTGGCTGGCGCTGTGGTGGAGTATTACACGACCAGGTCAGGAGGATTCTCAGAGGGCTAGATCATGGTTTGCCTTTGAACACCTGGAAAACAATTTCATTTGTTTTCTGATTGTAATGTGAAGCTATCAGAGAGTTTTAAAGCAAATAAGTCACATGATCTGATTTGAATTTTTAAAAATACATTCTGGTTGTTGAATGATGAGAGGATTGTAAAGCAAGTGTGGAAGTAGTAAGACCAGTTAGGAAACTGATATAATTAATACTACCTTGAACTAAAGTGGTAGTGAAAATAGGGAGGCCAGGTGCAGTGGCTCATGCCTGTAATCTCAGCACTTTGGGAGGCCAAGACAGGGAGATTGCTTGAGCCTAGGAGTTCCAGACCAGCCTTGGCAACATGACAAAACCTTATCTTTACAAAAAAAACACAAAAAATTAGACAGGTGTGGTGATGTGTGCCTGTAGTCCCAGCTACTCTAGACACTGAGATGGGAGGATTACCTGAGCCCAGGAGGTCAATGATGCAGCGAGCCATGGTTATACCAGTACACTCTAGCCTGGGCATCAGAAAGAGACCATGTTTCATGTTTCAGAGAGAGAGAGAGAGAGAGAGGAGGGAGAGACGGAGGGAGAGACGGAGGGAGGGAGAGAGAGAAATAATATGAAAAGAACAAATTTGGGCTATATTGGTGGTAGTGGTGATGAGTTGCTGATAGATTGAGTGTTAGGGGTTCAGGACAGGGTAGAATGAAGAATAATTCCTAAAACCTTGGCTTGAGAAGTGGGAATGAGATTGCCATTTCCTGAAAATAGGGGAAGAATAGGTTTGTGGAAAGAAGCAATGCAGGCATGAATTTTTTTTTCTTTTTTCTTTTTTTTTTGAGGTGAAGTCTTGCTCTGTCACCCAGGCTAGAGTGCAGCGGTGCAATCTTGGCTCACTGCAACCTCTGCCTCCCAGGTTCAAGCGATTCTCCCTGCCTCAGGCTGCCGAGTAGCTGGGATTACAGGTGACCACCACCACGCCTGACTAAGTTTTTTATTTTTTAGTAGAGATAGGTTTCATCATGTTTGTCAGGTTGGTCTTGAACTCCTGACCTCAGGTGATCTGCCTGTTTCAGCCTCCCACAGTGTTAGAATTACAGGCGTCAGCCACCACGCCTGGCCCAGTCATGAATTTTGACTTTATTGTTTGACATTCTTCTGGAGCTAAATGAACATGTTAGGACCGAAGATACAGATTTGGAAGTTACTCATAGACAGTTGGTGCTGTGGAGTTGGATGAAATCCCTTAGTTGGGTAGGTAGTATAGATAAGAATTGAGGGTCAAGTCCTCTGAGTAAGGAGTGGAGGAGGAGCCAAAAAGGGCTGACCATGAATGAGCAATTATTACTCTATTTTTTCATGAAAGAGTGGAAATGCAAAATTCTAGAAAAATGATGTTTTTGGGAAGAGGAAGTGGTGAGTTATTTGCTGATTGTTGTGAAGAATAAGATGAGGACCAAAAAGGTAGGTTTGGTAACGTAGAAGACAGTGAGGGATTTGTTAGAGTGTAAGAGTGGTGATCTTGACAGAACAATTTCATGAGGCATTAGGAGCAAAGTTGATCTGTGTAGTTTATGGTGAGAACATGAGTTGAGGAAACTTTCTTATGATCAAAGGTTAGCAAAATGTTTGTGGTGGTAGGTGAGGATAGCAAAGGAAACCAGAATGTTAGTTCACAGTTGTTAAAAGAGTTGAGATGCTGCAAATACACATTTTGCATGAATGCTCAGTGGCTAATGATTAAAATCATTGTGAGACCAAAATCAATAATCAAGCTGAATATATCATCATGAAGTAAGTTTGCATTATATTATGCTAAGCTAAACCTGGAACTTAAAAAAAATTAATAGAATTTAATTATTCATAGTTTGGTAGTCAAATTTTAAAAGATTGGCCTTATTGTGTGGGAACAATAATTTGTTAACATTGCTAACTGTAAAGTTGCGCCTGTAGTCCTACGTTTATGATACCAGATGCTCACTTTCAACTGCAGTGAGGAGAAGCCATGTATTTTTGAGTTCTTAATTTTTCTTTTGTTATAATGTCTGGATCAAAGAAGAATTATCTGAAAATTAATGTATGTGATTTTGTAGTTCCTCCTTCTTTCGAAATTTTTAAATGATAGAAGTTGGCATTCCGCTTTTAGTTCATCCTCACAAATTGTGGAAGAATCTAAAATAAAATTTTTTTATTGAAAGTGTTATGGCCTTAATGGAATTCAATAACTAAAAAAGAAGTAGGTCTCCCAAATTTGTTTTAATACCATCAGTATTAGTATACTGAACAACTGCATAAAAATTAATATTATATAGTCTTACTTCTTTTTATGTTATTATCTAAATTAAAAATATATGGATTGGCCTAAAAGTTATAATGTTCTTCCTAAAGTCATCTAACTAGTACATTCTCTTTAATATTTTCATTAACTGGCAGTGTCTTTCTGCATCTAAAGTTCTGAATGTCTGTTTTTGAGTTTAAAATAAACCTCAATTGTGTAGTATTTTATTCTTGCCATTAAATAAATAAATGTTTATGGTTTAATTGGTAGAATTTTATAAAGTACATGAATACATTTTTATTCCAAATGCATTTGGAATGTTTAACTGTGATTGAAATGAATATTAAATATTAAAATGAAATCTGAATGACTTACCTTATTCACATTACTGAATTTGTTATACCTCTTAAGTATTGGGCTAATAATATGATCACACTGTCATTGATCATGTACAACCTCAGTAATAACAAGAAATTATACTGAAGTAGGCGTTTGGCTCTTAATACTTCCAAAGATTAAAGATGAAGCTGAAGAGCAGAATTTGACTGAAAACTGAACCTGAGGCTAAGTTTTAATTGAGAAGTAATGTAAAGCCAGGAGAGGACTGTGAAACATGGAAATAAGAGCGAAGCCTAGTGTATGTCAGGACATGATGTTAGGTTATATTCAGAGAGGAAAAGTTCACATAAAAAGTTGGATATTTTACAGATACAGAGGTAATAAGATCTTAAATATGGACATGCATCCAGTTTGTTTTTGAACTAGTGGAATTATACCATGTGTCTCTTTTGCATTTGTCCTCTTTTACTCAATATTATATTTGTCCTCTTTTACTCAATAATATGTTTACTCAATATTACGTTATATTGTTATGGGTACAGTAGTTTAATTCCATTAGTTTACACTATTCTGTTATATTCCTATGTCACAATTATTCATTCATTTTCCTGTCAAGAGACATTTGGGTTCTTTCCAGGGTATGGATATTCCAGTTAGGGCTGTACTAAGAATATTTTTGTACATGTGTTTTGGAGAAACCTATATTCATGTCTCTGTTGGGTTCATACCTATTGGGAATCTCTTGAGTCATAAGATATGCATATGTTCAGCTTTAATAGATACTGCCAGAATATACGAAAGTTCTGTTTGTTCCACATAACTGCCAGGCCTATGCTTCTTTAAATTTTCCTGCTTCAGAAAGATTTTATTTTTTTAAATGAATATACTGAAATGTTTGTTTTGTTTTGGGAAATAGATTATAGTGTATTTACTCAACAGCCACTGGAGGAAGAAATGGATTCAAAATCTTTTGATGAAATGGAACAGAGCTTACTTATTCTTTCTGAAACCAAGGCTTCTCTAGTGAGCACCATGAGCCTTTGGAAACAACAGATGTACACAATAGCAAAGTTTCATTTCTTTACCTTGAAACGTGAAAGTAAATCAGTGAGATCAGTGTAAGTATAATTATCACTTATACCTGATGAATTGTTTTTTAAGGATGCGAATTGGATTTACCATCTTAATTTTTAAAATGTTAACATACGTAAATAATTTATGTAGTTTTAAAAGATTACCACTATAATTTCACAGTGTTAGAGAAAATAAATTACAGTCATTTCATCAAATACCCTGTCTTACACTTTACAAAATAGCATTTATTGTCTCATCTATAAAGTGAGGAAATAACAAATATTCCCTAATTGTATAATTTTTGAATTACTGTCATTGTATCTTTTTCTTTCTTTTTCACCTGGGAGCACAGATTCAAGTTTCCCTGAATATAGTAATACACTCCCTATTGTATCTTACATTTTATTTTGCATTTCTATTTTTTCACTATTTTTTGCTTCTACTAGTTAGTTTTTATAACTACTTTTTGTAAATAGCAGGAAAAATGAATTTTATCTCTATCATATGAAGAAACTGAAAAATAAAGAAGGCTCTGTGGCTAGTAGATCTAGGATCAAAATGACATCTTTGACATCTTCTCAAGTTAGCTTTAGCCTTTCTCAGTTAGGTTCTCCTAGGGTACTAGGCACTAAATTATTTGGAAATGACATTAACCACTTTCATATACCACACACCTATCTTGTGAGGTCCAAAATGGTAGTAGTAATAAGGCTTAGTAAGAATAAGAATATTGTTATATATTTGAAATATGCTAAATTTATATGCTCTTCTTTGACCAAATTCATTGTGAAACAAATGTCACATATCTGATTTATTCTTGTGTCGACATTACTGAAAGAAAAATGTTTATTTAAATCAGCATATTTCAGTTTATTTAATTGAATACTACTCTCATAAAATAGTCTCTGAAAAATAATTAAAATACCTTATTCAGCTTTGACTGCCATAACAAAATACTGTTTACTCGGTGGTTTAAACAGAATAAATTTATTTTCTCACAATTCTGTTGGCTGAAGGTATGAGATGAGAGTGCCAGCATGGTAAGGGCTTTCTTCCTGGCTTGCACCATCTCACTGTGTGCTCACATGAGCTCTTTGTGTACACTGGCATGCATTCTCTGGTGTCTCTTTTATAAATGTACTAATTCCATCATGAGGACCCCACCCTCATGACCCCATCTAAGGCAGATTACTTTTCAGAAGTCCCATTTCCAAACATCATCATATGGGAGTTAGGACTTCAACATATAAATGTGAGGAGGTACAAACATTCAATCCATAGCAAAATGTGTTCTATGGTCAAATACATTTAGGAAATATTCCTCTTCTATTCCTTATATTATAGAGTTATTCATTAGCATAGAAAAACACATGAGATATTCTGTGGTAAACAAATTCCTTCAACTTTGTTTAACCTCATGTTTCCAAGTATTATGTAATCATGAATATCTTTTAAATCACTTCTTAACTTATTATGAAATTGGATCAATGCCATATGCTTGTGAAATGTTATCTTAGATATACTTACAACAATTTAAGAAATATTTTTAAAAATTATGGGGTATGTGAACATTATAAATTAGTAAAGCATGATGATTAAGCTCTCCAACCGCTTGTTAGGACACTTATTGCATGTAATATAGAGATATTTAAGCAGTTAAGTAGCTGCCCTCCAGATACAAGGGCATTGTAGTATACATTGCTTTGCCTCCTGAGAGCAGCAATGCCAATGAATATGATAAAATTGTGATCAGGATGAAATTTCAAAGATACCAGTCATTCAAAGATTAATTATATTTTCATTTGCTTCTCTATATCTAAAATATTTTTGTTGTTACATGTAAAGTAAATGGGAATGGGCACAGTGGCTCACGCCTGTAATCCCAGCATTTTGGAAGGCTACGGCAGGTAGATCACTCAAGGCCAAGAGTTTGAGACCAGTCTGGCCAACATGGCGAAACCCTATCTCTACTAAAAATACGAAAATTAGCTGGATGCAGTGGCACATGCCTGTAGTCCCACCTACTTGGGAGGCTGAGGCATGACAATTGCTTGAACCTGGGAGGCAGAGGTTGCAGTGAGCTGAGATGACACCACTACACTCCAGCCTGGGTAACAGAGCAATACTTTATCTCAAAAAAAATAAAAAATAAATGGGTAAGATAGAGACAGGACAGGAAGTAATTCCTTTAGGAGTAGAGACAAATATTTGAGACATAATGTTTGTGCTTTAACAGTTATAACTACATGTTTACGTAGTCTGTGAAAATTTAAGGGTGTCACTGATCTAAAATATACTTTTATAACTTTTAATTTTGTCATACAGTATTGGCTTTCTCTTCAATATTGTCATAAGATCATTTTGGGAAATAGAATTTCTTTTTTTTTTTTTTTTTTTTTTTTTTTTTTTAGTTTTTTCTTTCTTTTTTCAGTGATTATCTCTTAACTATCTAGAGTTTAAATCTATACCAATGTAGGCTTGGTGAGGTGGCTCACACCTGTAATCCCAGCACTTGGGGACGTTGAGGTGGGCAAAATCCTTGTTTGAGTGCAGGAGTTCAAGACCAGCCTCGGCAACATGTTGAAACCCTATCTCTATTAAAAAAATATCAAAAATTAGTTGTGTATGGTTATGTGTGCCTGTAGTCCCAACTATTGAGGAGGCTGAGGTGAGAAGATCTCTTGAGCTGGGGAGGCAGAGGTTACAGTGAGCTGAGATCACGCCACTACATTCCAGCCTGGATGACAGAGCCAGACCCTGTCTCAAAAAAAAAAAAAAAAATCTCACTCATAGGTGGGTGTTGAACAATGAGAATACATGGGCACAGGGAGGGGAGCATCACACAGTGGGGTCTGTTGGGGGGACTAAGGGAGGGACAGCGCCGGGTAGGGAAGTTGGGGAGGGATAACATGGGGTGAAATGCCAGATGTGGGTGACAGGAGAATGGAGGCAGCAAACCATATTGACATGTATGTACCTATGCAACAATCCTGCATGATCTGCACATATACCCTAGAACCTAAAGTACAAGTTTATATATATATAAAATATAAAATATAATTATAAAAATATATTTTATATATTTATATGAAAATCCATCTCAATGTGGAGGGAGAGTTTTAATTGATTTTTATATTAATGTACTTTTGTACACTGAGCTGTGTTTTGTTTTGTTTTTTCCTTTTCAGGTTGCTTCTGCTTGTAATTTTTTTCACAGTTCAGATTTTTATGTTTTTGGTGCATCACTCTTTTAAAAATGCTGTGGTTCCCATAAAACTTGTTCCAGACTTGTATTTCCTAAAACCTGGAGACAAACCTCATAAATACAAAACAAGTCTGCTTCTTCAAAATTCTACTGGTGAGAGTGTGTGCAGGTCTGTGAATGAGTGTTGGGCATGGAGCATGGGGTTGAGGGGTGGATAAAGGTCTGGATCTTATCAATATATTTAAGATACAGGCATGATCTGTTTGTGTGAAATCTAAATTTAGTGCAATACATATATTTGATGCTGAAGAATATTTTACAGTAAATTTTGGTTTACAAATAAATGACAGTTTTGGTTGGGCACAATGACTCACACCTATAATTCCAGCATTTTGGGAGGCCAAGGCAGGTGGATTGGATTACCTGAGGTCAGGAGTTCAAGACTAGCCTGTGCAAGAAACCCCATCTCTACTAGAAATACAAAAATTAGCCATGCGTGGTGGCATGTGCCTGTAGTCCCAGCTGCTTGGGAAGCTGAGGCAGGAGAATTGCTTGAACCCAGGAGGCGGAGGTTGCAGTGAGACAAGATTGTGCCATTGCATTCCAGTCTGGTCAACAGAGGCAGATTCCACCTCAAAAATAAATAAATAAATAAACAAATAGTTTTTTAAAATACTCTAATTTATACTGTGTATAATAGTAAATTTTCCTTTTTTAGTAATTATGTTATTCTTATGAGCATGTTTTGTCTCAAAGCTCATGATGAGCAAAATATACTTCAAAAGCTGAAAAACCCTCTTTACAAAGAGTTAATAGTACATAATATTTATGAAGATATGTGTCTACATAGAAGTGTTTAAATACTTCTTCAAGAAGAGTCTGAAGAATTTGTTAAAATGAAGAAAATAAGACTTAAATATAAATATCTCTAATTGAATACATTAGATTTTGTAATGGATATTTTTGGCTTTGCTATCTTACTATATGATTGTCAAATATGAAAAAAATTAGACAAAGACTTGAGCAAAGCTCAAAACAAAAAACTGATGTGGTGTTCTGATTTTCAAAATATTAAAACCTATTACAAAACTTATTCATATATGATCAGTTGTTCCTATAACATCTCCTGTGGCAAACTCTGTGGGGTTTAACCTTTCTATTACTTCACCTACATTCTAGTATTATTCTTTTTTGATTCACTGATTCAAAAAGGATCTTGCCCGGTATTAAAATAACAAGCATGACTAGGAATTATTGTAAAAATTACTATTAAAATCATCGCTGTTAAAATCTGGTGCTTGTTATATTACATAACCTTCATTCTTTTTGGTAAATATGCATTTATTAGTGGAAAATTACTTGAGTAGAAAATATTAGGTTTTGCAATTTTTTTCTTTAATTAGGAATTCTTATTTTCTTTTTTTAAATACATTTTATGTTGCTAAAATACACTGCATGAAACCTTAAATCCTGACATTTTTTTGTGTGTCCAGGGAGCTTTACATGTATCTCAAATCTTTCTTTCTTTCTTTCCTTTCTTTTTTTTTTTTAAAGACCTTGGCTTCAAATCAAATCTTTTTGCTTTGAGTTCATTCTCATTGATTTGCAGAAATTCTAGTATTTTCAGTTCATTTCTTTCATTATGTTTTATAGAGTTGCTTGCTTATGCATGCCATGTTTTCCTAAGCCTTGTGTCTGTTCCAAAATAAAATCCCTTTTTTTTGAACCACTGGCTTCTGTGTGTATATATATATTGGGTGCTATCTTACCCGCTGTGGTTCCTTCACTTATAATATATCTCTCTTCTCAGGGTACCTAGGTGTTCTTGCAAGTTAGAGGTAAAAGATTAGTTAAGGTACTCGGTTGGGAGTAAAGTAATGTAACTATTCTCTATGACACGTAGATTTGGTGCTGTGTCTGATTCACCCTGCCATACTATTTAGTTACTAGTTATATTTTGCTTCGTTTGATTTAAATTTCTCTCAAAGTCGCATTTGTCCTTCCCTGAATCCAGTTTTTGTTATGATAGAGGAGAAACTGCATCTGTTCAGTAGACATGTTGGTATACATTTAAATCCCAGACAGGATTTAAAATCTTATCCTTGACTCCAGGTACTTTAGAGAATGTAGATAGAGACCTTATTATGTATTTGAATATTTTAGGGTAATTAAGGCAATTGACATGTCTGCCCAGAGCATGCAAAATTCCTCTAGGGATTGATGTTACCTCACCTTAGCCTCTATCTTTCTGAGCTTAGCAAGTTACCCTGTTACCTAAAATTGTTAGATTTTTATTCTTATTATTTAAGCAAATTTCATGTATTATAGGTTAACTTTTCAGTGTTAATAATAGTTGTAGCAGTAGCAGCAGCAGCAGCTGAAATGTGCACAGTTACTATGTGTCAGGTTCTAAACCCTGTGTATATATTCAGTGTAATTCTCATGATTACTCTATTAGGCAGATATACTTATTTTACCCACTTTACAAAAGAGGAAACTTAAGGTCCAGAGCATCTAGGTAACTTGCTTGAAGGACAGATAGTTTAAATGGTACTTTTAAAACTATTTTAAAAGGTGGTTGTTGTTGTTGTTGTTGTTGTTGTTGTTGTTTGAGACGGAGTTTCGCTTTTGTTACCCAGGCTGGAGTGCAATGGCGTGATCTTGGCTCACTGCAACCTCTACCTCCTGGGTTCAGGCAATTCTCCTGCCTCAGCCTCCTGAGTAGCTGGGATTACAGGCACGTGCCACCATGCCTAGCTAATTTTTTGTAGAGACGGGGTTTCACCATGTTGACCAGGATGGTCTCGATCTCTTGACATCGTGATCCATCCGCCTCAGCCTCCCAAAGTGCTGGGATTACAGGCGTGAGCCACTGTGCCGGGCTTAAAAAGTTTTAAAACCAGGCTGATTGGCTTCAGAGCCAATATACTTGCTTGCATATTCACTAATGAAAATAAAATATTTCTCTAAAAATAGAATGATCTTCCCAATGTTACTAAAAACCTTATTTAAACTCATTGTTTATTATTTGCTTATTTTCTAACACCAGACTCAGATATCAGTGATCTTATTAGCTTTTTCACAAGCCAGAACATAATGGTGACGATGTTTAATGACAGTGACTATGTATCTGTGGCTCCTCATAGTGCGGCCTTAAATGTGATGAGTTCAGAAAAGGTAAGATAAATGCAGTGAATGAATATCCATTTGGGAGTTATAAAAGATTAAAGCATTTCTTCTAAAATTATTTGCTGATTTGCCTTTATGAGTTAGATTTTACTTTTGGAAGTAACTAGCTGTCTTTATTTATGATATATTTCATTCCCTCACAAATGACCAATAAATAAAGTTATAGGAATTTAGTTTTTAAAAAATATGATATTCTTGCTTAAAATATTAAAGTATCTGTACATTCCAAACCAGATTTTACTTTTGGAAGTAACTAGCTGTCTTTATTTATCATTGGGTATTATTTCTGTGAGTTGTTGAAGCAGTTTTTCAGCATGAGCATTAGCTTTGTAGGTGAGAAAAGCTTGGTACATAGCAATAATATTTCCACTTTTATTTATGTACAGTATATAATAAATGTCTTTTTTTTTAATTGTAGGACTATGTTTTTGCAGCTGTTTTCAACAGTACTATGGTTTATTCTTTACCTATATTAGTGAATATCATTAGTAACTACTATCTTTATCATTTAAATGTGACTGAAACCATCCAGATCTGGAGTACCCCATTCTTTCAAGTAAGCCAATGTATATACAGATAAATTTTCGTGTGCATATCATATGTATAATAATAAACATTAAAAAACAAGCAAAATAACAAAATACATAGAAATTTATCTTGTGAGATCTCTTAGTCTCCTTAAAACTCAAGTGAGAAATGGTTTATATTAAAGTTTATGATTTCCCAGTATAAGTATGTTTAAGGGTAAAGGACCTTCTGTTTTGGTATTGATATTTTTGTAAGGCATAAGTGTATTCAGTATTGATCATAGAATAAAATATATGATAATTTTTAAATGATTTTTTTTTTATCTGAAATCCAGATATTAGGGTATTGAAAAACTGAGAAGTCACCCAGACAACCATTTTTTCTCTAGATACAGCTATTGGATTGTACATATCAGAATCAAGACTACAGAAAAGTATTCAATATTTTTTCTTAATCCTTTGGATTTTCATGTGCTAAAAAATAAATGGACACGTATCTGTAACAATATTTTCTATTTTCTCTTGTCATACTTTTAAAAACAACTTCATTGAAATAGAATGCCCAATCTACGTGATCATTATTTAAAGTAGGCACTTCAGTGTTTTTTACTGTGCTCATAGAGTTGTGCAGTCATCACTAGAGTCAGTTTTAGATATATACCATCACCCCCCTGAAACCCTTATACCCATTAGTAGTGACTCATTTCCTCCCATTCCTACCCCCAACCCTAGGTAACCACTATTGTGTACTTTCTGTATCTATGGATTTCTTTATTTTAGACATTTTATATAAATGGAATCATACAATATGTACTCTGTTTTGTCTGCTTTCTTGTTCTTAGCATACTGCTTTGAAGATTCATCCATGTTGTAACATGTATCAGTACTTCATTTATTTTTACTACCAAATGATATTTCATTGTGTGGAACGTATCGAATATTTATGTGAAATACCGCATTCTATTTATCCATTCATCGGTTGATGGCATTTGCGTTGTTTCCACCTTTTGGCCATTATGAGTAATGATATGAATATTTGAGTACAAGATTTTGTATGAGCGTATGTTTTCTTCTTGGATGTGTAGCTAGCTCTGGAATTGCTAGATCATCTAGTAACTCTGTGTAACATTTTGAAGAACTGCCAAACTGCTTTCCAGAATGGTTGCGTCATTTTCCGTTTCTAGCAGCAGTGTGTGTGGAGAGGTATCTCATTTTCATTTTGATTTGCATTTCCTTAGAGGCTGATGATGCTGGGAACCTTTTTAGGTGCTTATATCTTTGAGAAATGTCTATTCCAGTCCTTTTCCCATTTAAAAATTTTATTATTTGTCTTTTCCTGATTAGATTTTTAGGAGTTTTTTATATTTTCTAGATACAGCTCCTTTATCAGACACATGATTTGCAGATATTTTTTTCCCGACCTGGGGTGCCTCTTCACTTTCTTGATAGTGTCCTTTGAAGTAGAAGTTTTTAATTTTGAGGAAACTTAATTTATCTATTTTTTTTCTTTTATTGCATCTGCTTTTGTTGTCATTAACTAAGAAATTTTTGTCTAACCCAAGGTACAAAAGGCTTACTGCTATATTGTTGTCTCAGAGTTATAGTTTTAGCACTTATATTTAGGACTATGATCCATTTGCAGTTAATTTTTGTGTTTTATGTAAGGAGGGATTCTAACTTTCTTGTTTTGCACATGGATATCCAGTTGTCCAAGCATGTCTTACACTCTAAAAATGTTTTTGTGTGTATGTAGTCATAATTCTTTTCGTCAAACTAAAACACTGATTATAAACATATCAATTCCTATGAAATTTGTTTACCCAAACTTGTATTTTTCCTTTACGTGTTTCTTCTATCACGTTGAGTCTTTGACTCATTCTGCCAAGTGCTTTATAAATTACTGTTTTTTTTTTTTTCCTCCAGAGTGTTTCTTTATTTTTGAGGTGGAGTCTTGCTTTGTCACCCAGATTGGAGTGTGGTGGCATGATCTCGGCTCACTGCAATCTCCGCCTCCTGGGCTCAAGCAGTTCTCCTGCTTAGCCTTCCAAGTAGCTGGGAATACAGGCACATGCCACCATGCCCAACTGATTTTTTTTTTTTTTTTTTTTTTTTTTGTATTTTCAATAGAGACGAGGTTTCACCATGTTTACCAGGCTGGTCTCAAACTCCTGACCTTAGGTGATCCTCCTGCCTTGGCCTCCCAAAGTTCTGTGATCACAACTGTGAGCCACCACACCTGGCCAGAGTATTTAAAATAATAGTTTTTTTCCTCCCTTTATCTTTAGTGTTTTAAAAATCCATGTTATTATATTGTTATAATATTAAACCATTACATTGTTCACTATAATTCTCATTTTCTTAGTCGGCTGTTTTTAAATGTGCTTTGCTACTATATGTTCAAAGAGGATGCATTATATCATTTTCAATAATCCTTGACCACTTCTCTTAATATTAAGTGATTAATTAATTCAGACACACTTACTGTACTTATAGAGTGCTTATGGTAGCTAGGCACCTTGCTAATGTTTGGGTTGTATCAGTGAAAAAGGGACTAAGAAGCTTACTGAATAGTGGAGAAAACAGGCAAATAAGCAAGTGATGATAATAGAGTGTGAAAAGTGCTGTACTGTAATAAGGATATTTGAGATAAGAAAAACTAATGTATTTTTTCTACTCTCACACTCCACTCAACACAGTACTTCTGACACTAGACGTATGAGGGTCTTTCCCCACATGCCAAGCAATTCTCCCGCAGACACCAGCTGTGTGTCCTATAGTTTAATTCAATTCTGACACTGTCTACTTGGTGATAGTATCAGATCCCACAGGTTAAAGGCTCAGTCAGATTCCAATCCTAATCCTCAGTTTGCGATCTGTGTTTCTTACTAACCTGCTATAAATTGGGAGCTCTCATGATGTCCTCCTCAGGTTTGATTAGTTGACTAGAATGGTTCACAGAACTCACAGAACAATTTACTTATGTTTATTGGTTTATTAATAAATATTATAATAAAGGGTGCAGATGAGCAATGAGGTGAAGTGATACACATGGCAAGGTCTGGAAGGGTCCTAAGCCAGAAGCTTCTATTCCCATGGAGTTGAGTTACTCCACCTTCCTGGTATGCATATGAAGTTGGGTTGTAGGAGAGGAAAGAAAGTTCAATAAATCAGATTAGAGATTCTTTTTAAATAAATAGTTTATGTGAGAAGGGCTGATGGGTGTCTCAGTTAATGTAGCAACAGTAGCATTCATGATAGAGGGATATTAAAAATAAGTGGCATAACTTGATCACTGTTGCATTTTTGAGATGAAGAAGAGGGAAGACTAAATTTTTTTGCTTTTAGACAATGTGATACATGGTATTATCATTGACCGATTTTAAGAATAGAGGCAGAAGAAAGACTTTTTGTCTTGTTATACTGGAATTGAAGTACTCATTTCAGTTTGAATCTACTGAATTGGTTGTCTTTGTGGCATTTTCCTGATAGACATTTAATAAATATTTTGTGTATATGAATCTGGAGAGATTTCTGGACAGTAAACAAGGACTTATGAGTTACCAATACATATTGATACTGATATCATCAAAGTTGTAGATTATTTCTCATGATGTTTTTATTGTGAAATAGTTTAAACCTGCAAAAAATGAACCACCTACTATCCAAATATTTCAAATGTTAACATTGCATAATATTTGTATTCCATAAAACTTTAAAGATACAGGTGGAAACTCATATTACCCCTCTCCAATCTTGTTTCCTTCAGTCCTCTGTAGAAATAAACACAATTCACAATTTATAATTCCCATACATGTTTTTATGACGTTACTACATATGTCTGTATACTTAACTATTACACAAGATTTTGCAACTTACAGTTTTCATCAGACACTGACATATAATCATACTATATATTGAAAGAAATAGATGGGAGTTTTTAGAGCTAACTATTCATAGATACAGTACCATTAATAATTCAAATTTCTTTCTTCCTTCATTAGATTCTATATGATTGGATACAATTGTAGTCTCATTCATTTCCGCTTCTTGCACTACTTAGTTTACATATTTATGGGTTCTTTCTGGGGCTTCCACTGTCATATTACCAGAGTTTGGGACAAATTCTGCAATGCCATATGACCCGAACTATGGAATTGACTTTATTGCTAAATAGAAAAACTCAGAAGGTCAGATTCAACAAGGCAGTGATGTACTGTGTCTCCTAGGCACTGTGGGTTCTATTCCAGTGCAGATTACCTTCTCTGTCCCATGGGTACATACTCTTATAGAACAATGGGAGGAAACGGACCTTGGTAAAGGTGGGCAATAATATCGTATCCATGGACCTGGGTAATCTGCATTTGAAGTGCTAGCTGTCTAATGATTGTCTGGGAAAGTTCGCTGACTGCACCTGGATCCCTGGGGAAGCTAGGGACATTGGGGCCTGTGGGAGTTAAATTTTCTTCTGCTTGGGAGAAGTTCTGATTCCCATAGGGAGCTGAGCTTGGATATAGCTTTTCCCAGTGGAGAAAACGAGAGTCCCAAGACAATAAAGAGCAACAAATACCATTCTTAGATGATAATTATCATTGTATAGGATCACTATAGTGGACATACTAATTGCTTTTCAAATATATACTTCATTTTTATTAAATTGTGAAGTTTAATTTATATGCCACATTATTCTGTGTTGTAGATATGCAAATGAAAGTAAAATGATTTGCTCAGGATCAGATAGTTATTAATATAAGTGGCAGGGCTGGTAATATTGTCCACCGCCACCTGTTAATACATCTGCCACTCATTCTTTCATATAGACTATGCCTGGGTTAGGTATTCTAATATGTTCTTTCTGAGGTTTTGATTTTTTTAAGTATATATTAAGATATAAAATGGTTCTCAGTTCCATTTGTTATTCTGTGGTTGTCTTTCAGGAAATTACCGACATAGTTTTTAAAATAGAGCTGTATTTTCAAGCAGCTTTGCTTGGAATCATTGTTACTGCAATGCCACCTTACTTTGCCATGGAAAATGCAGAGAATCATAAGGTAATGACTCAGTTAAAATATGTATAATTTGCTACCAAGAAATGTCACATAAAAATAACCTATTTGCATAATTGCAAGCCTTAGTGTAACTATTATTTTAGAAGAAAGTAAATGGAGTATAAATACATTTATTATAATTTCTTATTATAGTAACAGTGATAACTAATATTTATTACTTGAGACTTGCTATATGCTTTAAAAATTCTCTAATTCTCACAATATTGTGAGGGAAGTTTTTTGTTATCAATTGCTTATAGATCAGGATATCAAACATGGGATTGTTCGTATGACTTGACTCAACTTGTTTAAATTGTGGATTTGGGAACTGACTATGGTCTTTATGTTCTTAACTGGCACATTAATGTGCCTGTGCCCTTTATCCTTTAACAGAGGTATTAAGTAGTCAAGGCACTTAATTCTCATTAACTGAAAAATAAAAAAAAAAGATGAAAGTGGTTGTCATCATTAGGGCCTTGGAGAAATTGCTAAGTATACAGAAGTTCTTTGATATTCTTTTACTTTCTTTTTACGCCTTTCCCTTTTGTTTTCCTTCAGGCATATAGTGATCTTGTATAGTCTTTGGCAATTCAAAGCCTTCTACTCTTTCACACTGCTGAGATTATAACTTACTTCTCTAATAAAAATTCTTATCTTCTTCACGTATGATCTTCATTCAGTAAAAACAAAGTTGTCTAGAATGATTTACAGACCGTGATGAATAATGAACTCATTATTTTAATGAATTCTAAACAAATATTTTGTTATTAATTTGTTTAGTATAAAAGTAACACATCTCTATTTTTAAAATAATATTCCATTTTTGTTATAAATATACTCATTGTAGTAATTTAGAAATTATAGAAAAGTGGAAGGAATATAGAAATCTGTAACCTACTGCATAATAATGAAATTTACTGGACATTTGCATTTTTCTTTTTTGTTTCAACTGAAATATTTTTAATTAAACTTTTATTTTGAGATAGTTGTATATTCATGTTTGTTAAAATGACAGAGACATCCTGTATACTCTTTATATTTTTATCCCAAATATCACTGGGATAACATCTCGTAAAATTATAGTACAATGTAACAGGATATTGGCATTGATACAGTACATTTCTGTCACCAGAAAGATTCCCATTTTTTGCCCTTTCTTAACCTCTCTGACCTGTGGCAACCACTAATCTGTTCTCTATTTCTGTAATTTTGATAGTTCAAAAATGTAAAATGGTGTCACGGTAAGTTTTCTTTGGGGATTGGCTTTTTTCAACTAGCATTTTTTTTTTTTTGAAATTTATCCTATTTAGATGTATCAATAGTCCATTCCTTTTTATTGCTGAGTACTATTCCATGGTATGAATACATCACACTTTCTCTAACCATTTGCCTGTTGAAGAACATTTGGATTATTTTCTGTTTTTGGCTATTGTGAATAAAGTTGCTGTGGACATTTGTATACAGGTTTTGTGCAAACATAAGTTTTCATTTCTCTGGGATAAATGCCCAAGAGTGCAATTGCTGAATCATATGTGTTTAGTTTTATAAGAAATTGCCAAATTATTTTCCAAGATGGGTATTCCATTTTATATTATCCCTACCAGCAATGTATGAATGATGAAATTTTGAATTGTTCAAAAATACTTGCATTTGCCTTGGCTTATGTTTTTATCCTTGTATTAGAATTTACATGTGTCTCATGTTCTCATAATTCATTGAACATAAAACTTGCCAATTTTGTTCACTTCTCCTCTTCTTAACTAATCTTTATATTTCATGCTTTATCTCACTCTGTGGACAGCTCTTTCATATAATACCTGTAGTTATTAGGAGTAAATACTTTTATAGATGACAAAAATCAACTACATAAGATTGTTAGGTATTTAGGTTTGTGAAATATTTTAGAAATTTCAAATTAAATGAGAACATGAGATACAAAAACTATGATCATTTAAGTTTACCATTAACAAACTTGTGATGTAAATAACACTTTAGATTTTTGTACTATACCAGTGTACATAAAAGGCTTTCAAAGTTTCAAAAGCTTTCACTTAAACTGAAAGCCCTATGTAAATCCAAAGGATATTTTGGCAATTTATCAGTGTTTTAATGAAAGGTTTATTTTTAAAAATGAGAATTCTTTTCCTGTGTGAACTATCTCAAAATTTTCTATTTGCAAAGTACTTCAAAAGCAGTAATGTATTGCCTATTTAATTATTTATATAGCTGTAATCCCAACCCCATGACACCTTTTGGCTAATTTCTGTTTCTTAGCAGCACTACTGTATTCTGATTCTTAAAAATTTTGTTGAAATTGTTACATCTCAGAAATAATGAGTCAAATTAAAGGCTAAATGGAATTTATATTTAGTGTGAGGGGAACTTTTATTACCTATAAACCTGAAATGTGACCTTTCTGATTTCATTGATGTAAAATTAAGAGATCTACAATAATTTACTAATTTATTTGTGTGTTTATAAAATGTCTAAAATTATAATAATTTTTTTTTAGATCAAAGCTTATACTCAACTTAAACTTTCTGGTCTTTTGCCATCTGCATATTGGATTGGACAAGGTGTTGTTGATATCCCCTTATTTTTTATCATTCTTACTTTGATGCTAGGAAGCTTATTGGCATTTCATTATGGATTATATTTTTATACTGTGAAGTTTCTTGCTGTGGTAAGTTAACACTAGTTGTACTCATGCTATTTATAGATAGAATGTTATTTTAAAAACTATAAATGGGGCAATTGACTTGTTGAATAATTTGGTTATTAATTTGTTTAAAGGACTTTTCCTTTATTATGAAAATGTCAAGACTGACTTACATGAAGATATTTTTTTGCTTGAGTAGATAATGATGATGATGATGATGATGATTATTTTATATTTTGAGATGGAGTTTTGCTCTGTTGTCCAGGCTGGAGGGCAGTGGTGCAATCTTGGCTTACTGTAACATCCACCTCCTGGGTTCAAGCAATTCTCCTGCCTCAGCCTCTCGAGTGGCTGGGACTACAGGACACACCATCATGCCCTGCTAATTTTTGTCTTTTTAGTGGAGACAGGGTTTTACCATGTTGGCCAGGCTGGTCTTGAACTCCTGATCTCAAGCGATTCACCTGCCTCAGCCTCCCAAAGTGCTGGGATTAGAGGTGTGAGCCACCATGCCCAGCCTTGAGTAGATTATTGATAATACTTGAGTGTTTAGTGTTTAGAATGGCTGTTTTTCCTGAATTCCGTTTTAAAATTATTATTATACTTTAAGTTCTGGGATACATGTGCAGAACATGCAGGTTTGTTACATAGGTATATATGTGCCATGGTGGTCTGCTGCACCCATCAACTCATCATCCACATTAGGTATTTCATCTAATGGTATCCCTCCCCTAAACCCTCACCCCCGACAGGCCCCGGTGTGTGATGTTCCCCTCCCTGTGTCCATGTGTTCTTATTGTTGAACTCCCACTTACAAGTGAGAACATGCAGTGTTGGGTTTTCTGTTCCTGTGTTAGTTTGCTGAGAATGATGGTTTCTAGCTTCATCTGTGTTCCTGCAAAAGACATGACATGAACTCACTTTTTTTTTTTTTTTTGAGTGCATAAAATTCCATGGTGTATATGTGCCACATTTTTTTTATCCAGTCTATCATTGATGGACATTTAGGTTAGTTCCAAAACTTTGCTATTGTGAATAGTGCCACAATTAAACACACATGTGCATGTGTCTTTATAGTAGAACGATTTATAATCCTTTGAGTATATACCCAGTAATGGGATTGCTGGATCAAATGGTACTTCTGGTTGTAAATCTTTGAGGAATCGCCACACTGTCTTCCACAATGGTTGAACTAATTTACACTCCCACCAGCAGTGTAAAATGTTTCCATTTCTCCACATCCTCTCCATCATCTGTTGTTTTCTGACTTTTTAATGATCACCATCCTAACTGGCATGAGATGGTATCTCATTATGGTTTTGATTTGCATTTCTTTAATGACCAGTGATGATGAGCTACATAAATGTTTGTTGGCTACATAATGTCTTCTTTTGAGAAGTGTCTGTTCATACCATTTGCCCACTTTTTGATGGGGTTGTTTGTTTTTTTTCTTGTAAATTTGTTTAAGTTTCTTGTAGCTTCTAGATACTAGCCCTTTGTCAGATGGATAGATTGCAAAATTTTCCCCCAATTTTGTAGGTTGCCTGTTCACACTGATGATAGTGTCTTTTGCTGTGCAGAAGCTCTTTAGTTTAATTAGATCCCATTTGTCGATTTTGGCTTTTGTTGCCATTGATTTTGGTGTGTTAGTCATGAAGTCCTTGCCCATGCGTATGTCCTGAATGGTATTGCCTAGGTTTTCTTCTAGGGTTTTTATGGTTTTAGGTCTTATGTTTAAGTCTTTAATCTATGTCGAGTTAATTTTTGTAAAAGGCGTGAAGAGGTCCAGTTTTATTTTCTGCATATGACTAGCCAGTTTTCCCAATACCATTTATTAAATAAGGAATTCTTTCCCCATTGCTTGTTTATATCAGATTTGTGAAAGATCAGATGGTTGTAGATGTGTGGTGTTATTTCTGTGGCCTCTGTTCTGTTCCATTGGTCTGTATATCTGTTTTGGTACCAGTAGCATGCTGTTTTGGTTACTGTAGCCTTGTAGTATAGTTTGAAGTTAGGTAGCATGATGCCTCTAGCTTTGTTGTTTTTGCTTAGAATTGGATTGTCTTGGTTATATAGGCTCATGAAATTAGTTTTGTCTAATTCTGTGAAGAGAGTCAGTGGTAGCTTGATGGGGATAGCATTGCATCTAGAATACTTTTGGCAGCATGGCCATTTTCACAATATTGATTCTTCCTGTCCATGAGTATGGAATGTTTTTCCATTTGCTTGTGTCTTATTTCCTTAAGCAGTGGTTTGTAGTTCTCCTTGAAGAGATCTTTCACATCCTTTGTAAGTTGTATTCCTAGGTATTTTATTCTCTTTGTAGCAATTGGGAATGGAAGTTCACTCATGATTTGGCTCCCTGTTTGTCTATTATTGGTGTATAGGAATGCTTGTGATTTTTGCATATTGATTTTGTTTTGCTGAAGCTGCTTATTAGCTTAAGGAGATTTTCGGTTGAGACAGTGGGGCTTTCTAAATGTACATACAGTCCTGTCATCTGCAAACAGACAATTTGATTTCTCTTCCTATTTGAATACCCTTTATTTCTTTATATATATATATCTATACACACACACACACACACACACACACACACACACACACACGTGAAGAACATGCAGGATTGTTGCATACATGGCAATGTGATTTTCTGCCTCCATCCCCATCACCTATATCTGGCATTTCTCCCCATGTTATCCCTCCCCAACTCCCTAGTCCCCCACAACAGACCCCAGTGTGTGATGCTCCCTTCCATGTGTCCATGTGTTCTCATTATTCAATACCCACATATGAGTGAGAACATGCGGTGTTTGATTTTCTGTTCTTGTGTCAGTTTGCTGAGAATGATGGTTTCCAAGGAAAAATATTTTTTTAAGACAGAGTCTCACTCTGTCACCGAGGCTGGAGTGCGGTGGAGCGATCTTGGCTCACAGCAACCTTCAGTTCCCAGATTCTAGCAATTCTCCTGCCTCAGCCTCATCTTCAGAAATAAAGCCACACATCTGTAGCCATCTGATATTCGACAGAGTTGACAAAAATAAGCAATGAGAAAGGATGCTATGTTCAATTAATGGTGCTGGGAAAGCTGGCTAGCCCTATGCAGAAGAATGAAATTGGACTTCCACCTTTCACCGTACATAAAAATTAACCAAGATGGGTTAAAGATTTAAGGGAAAGACATCGAACTATAAGAATTCTACAAGAAAACCTAGAAAATACCATTCTGGACATTGGGAAAGAATCTACAACTAAATAAGTCCTCAAAAGCAATTGCAATGTAAATAAAAATTGACAAGTACCATCTAATTAAACTAAAGAGCCTCTGCATAGCAAAAGAAACTATCAACAGAGTAAATGGACAACATACTGAATGGGAGAAAATACAAACTATGCATCCAACAAAGGCCCAGTAACCAGAATCTATAAGACACTTAAACAATACAGCATTAAAAAAACAAAGAACTTCATTAAAAAGTGGGCAAAATATATGAACAGACACATCTCAAAAGAAAACATGCAGGTGGACAACAAATGTATGAAAAAATGCTCTACATCGCTAATCAACAGAGAACTGCAAATTAAAACCACAGTGAGATAGCATCTCACATCAGTTAGAATGACTATCATTAAAGAGTCAAAAACCAACAAATGCTGGCAAGGCTGCAGAGAAAATGAAATGCTTATATACTCTTCGTAGGCATGTAAACTTCAGCAACCGTGGAAGGCAGTTTGGAGAGTTCTCAAAGATACTAAAACAGAGCTACCTTACAACTCAGAAACTCCATTACTGGTTATATATCCAAAAGAAAATAAATCGTTCTACCAAAAAGACACATAAGCTGGTATGTTTATTGCAGCACTATTCACAATAGCAAAGACATGGAATCAACTTAGGAGCTCGTAACAGGTGATTGAATGAAGAAAGTATGGTACATACACACCACGGAATACTGTGCAGCAATAAAAAGTAATCAAATCATGTCCGTTGCAGCAGCACAGATGCAGTTGTAGGCCATTATCCTAAGTGAATTAATAAAGGAACAGAAAACCAACTGTTGCATGTTCCTACTTATAAGTGGAAGCTAAATTGGGTAAACATGGACATAAAGATGGCAGCAATAGACACTGGGGACTATTAGATGGGGGCAGGAGGAAGGGTCAGCAAGGGTTGAAAAACTAAGCGTTGGGTACTATGCTCAGTACATAGGTGACAGAATCAGTTATACCCCAGACCTCAGCATCATGCAGTATACCCATGTAACAAACCTGCACATGTATCCCCTGAATCTAAAGTAAAACTGGAAATTATTTAAAATAAAATACAGCTTAAAATATCAAAGGAGAGACTGATTTGCATCCATGTTAACATGTTAATGACTGACAGTAAGCCCTGTAATTGAATACTTTATTAGGAAAAAGGGAGAACAGCGTTAGGTGAGGTTGATGCTAAAATTAACAATTTTGTCAGAGATCATAATGACCTTATATATTAGTTTATGCCATATAAAATAATAATGTTTTTCTTAAACTTTAAAAAATAAAGTGCTATATATTAAAATAGTAGCTAATATTTGACTGAGAGAGATAAAGTTGTAGCTAGCTATACTTGCTTTTTATAATAAAATAATGAGGTGATATTTTACTTGGTATAAAACACTACAAATAGTGTTCAGTTAAATAATTTATTTGGGATTGTATTAAAAATATCTTAATGTTTTAATATGACTAGTATTTAATGTCGTGTACTGGAAGCTATTCATATTTTTATAGAAACATTTCTGATTTACAGGTTTTTTGCCTTATTGGTTATGTTCCATCAGTTATTCTGTTCACTTATATTACTTCTTTCACCTTTAAGAAAATTTTACATACCAAAGAATTTTGGTCATTTATCTATTCTGTGGTAAGTCACATTTTGCATTATTTCAACTTGCCATAGCAGTTTAATTGAAATCACACATACTTTCCTGATTATACTAAAAAATGTTACATGTCTTTTGTAAGCACAGAATTTAGTTAAATAATTGGCAGTTTCTTTTTATATGTATATTTGTCTTCTGAATCCTCCTTTTCCACACAGGGACAATATGGAAGACTTTTAGCAACTAGGGTAGCATGGATACCAGCTACAAACAAGTTGCTACTTGCTGGCTAAATAACATCTCTAGTTCCATGTTTACTAGAGAATTGAAAACATAGTTTAATGCTTCGACACCAGTTTATAAGTCAGTTTGTATGAAACTTCTAAACACTTTGTCACTTGCTTTTTCATTTTTTTTCTTTAGACAGCGTTGGCTTGTATTGCAATCACTGAAATAACATTCTTTATGGGATACACAATTGCAACTATTCTTCATTATGCTTTTTGTATCATCATTCCAATCTATCCACTTCTAGGTTGCCTGATTTCGTTCATAAAGGTAACTCTGCTAAGTATTTTAATATGTTAAAAATATAAATAAGTACTGTCTGAGGATGTTAGTTCTTAGAAAATAGTAAAATGCATCAGGTTAATGGCTACTACTTGGTTTAGATGTTATTAATGCAGTATAAATTATTGTGAGATCTTGTCAAACTGTAAATTCTCAAAAGAAAAGGGCTATGCTTGTTATAGGTTTTCAGATGCTCAAAATGATATGTATAAATTAGAATTGTGATGAGGTTTCAGTCAGTGTTTTTAGGAGTTTATCAGTGATTAAATCATGTATTTTACTCTGAAGGAATGAGAAAGAATAAAGTATAAGAGATTTTCTCCAAGAAAAAATAGAGATAAAAACCAGATTTATTTTATTAAGGCTGGATAATTGAAAAAAAATTCCATGGGATTAGAAAAAATATTATGAATTATTGATTTAGGTTTGCTAATTAATTCTACTTACTAATCCTGCTACCCCTACTTCTCTTTTTAGGTCTCAGTTTAATGTTTTTAATTTATACTAATCCTTAGAAATATTTTGGGACAGAGAAGATTTTAAGTAAAAATATAACTTACTAATATGAATAGCTAACTTAATAGAAAATACACTTGCTAAACAAAATATATTTTTTCATTTTAATCCAACTATTTCTACATATTGCAGCATATACATTTTTAAAACTTTTTGTCTTAGATTTCTTGGAAGAATATACGAAAAAATGACGACACCTATAATTCATGGGATAGGCTTTCAGTGGCTGTTATATCGGTAAGAAATGAAAGTGTTTTTGTGAGTTAGCATGTTACCTTAAGAATACTTTGGTTCTATAGTTTTAACTATGTATAATTTTTTATCCTGTTTTATAAAAAAGAAGGTACATAAAAAGTCAAGTGTGTTAGTTAACGCTAGCTAATCTGTATTTAATAGGGAGTACCTTTCATTTATTGAATGTGTCCACTTTAATATACTTAGCCTTTTACATGTTATTCTATTTAGCTACAGTTCTGTCTTCTTAGAATCAAAAACAAAGTTTTTGTGTTTGATTATATTTTATGAAGCTGACAATAAATGAATGATACAGAGGTAGACAATATGTGAAGGATTTACTAAAAATAATTCTGTTTTAGTTCATATAAAATTCATTTTTAATTATCTTTATCACTGTCAAGTATAAAAAGTTGTGATTTTTTTTTTTTTTTTTTTTTTTTTTTTTTTGGAATAGCAAGGAACTTGATGTATGTAGTCTTAGTTCTACTGGCAAAGGAAAAGAATAAACAACAAACCTTTTAATCATGAGCTGCAACATGTTCTTCTTTTAGCCTTACCTGCAGTGTGTACTGTGGATTTTCCTCTTACAATACTATGAGAAAAAATATGGAGGCAGATCAATAAGAAAAGATCCCTTTTTCAGGTCAGTTAATTTTTAATTTTTAAAAAATTTTAAATGTTTTTAGTATATTTACAGAATTGTGAAACTATTCCCATAATATAATTTTGAAACATTTCCAGCACTCCAGAAAGAAACTTTGTACTCATTAATAGTCACTTTCTTATTTCTGCTCCCATAACCCCCTGTCTTAGGTAACCACTAATCTACTTTCTGTTTCTGTCAGATTTGCCTATTCTGAACATTTTATATAACTGGACAATGGAAATATACTTTGGAAAATCTTGAGTCTAAAGACCAATGATTCTCTTAAATATCTTATATTTAACTTTTATAGTTATTTGCTTTTTACTATAGTTGGTTGGTATGTTATTTTAATGTTGGAAAATCATCAGATTTGCCAGAAAACATCTTTTAAAAATTGCTAGGATTTGGGCAATATAATTAATATCTAACATATGGTTTAACACTTATTATAATGTTTGGAATGGTCATCATGTAGTCACATGTAGCAGTACTTCGTTACCTTTTTTTGCTGAGTAATGCTACATTGTATGTGTATACTATAATTTTATATATCTTTATCAATGAGTTGCTTTTACTTTTTGGCTATTATGAACAATGTTGCCATGAATATTTGTATACAAGTGTTTGTATGGACATATATTTTCATTTATTTTGGTTGGCTACCTAGAAATGGGATTGCTGAGTCATTTGAGGAATTTCCAGACTGTTTCTAAAGTGCTAGTGCTATTTTACACTCCCCCAGGAACATATTAGGGTTCTATTTTCTCCACATCCTTGCCAATGCTTGTTCTTGTTTGTCTTTTTTTGAGACAGAGTTTCACTCTTGTTGCTCAGACTGGAGTGCAATGGCGCAATCTCAGCTCACCACAACCTCCGCCTGCAGGGCTCAAGTGATCTCCTTCCCCAGCCTCCCAAGTAGCCGGGATTACAGGCATGTGCTACCATGCCCGGCTAATTTTGTATTTTTAATAGAGATGGGGTTTCTCCATGTTGGTCAAGCTGGTCTCAAACTCCCAACCGAGGTGATCCAGCCACCTCGGCCTCCCAAAGTGCTGGTATTACAGGCGTGAACCACCGTGCCCAGCCTTTGTTTGTCTTTTTAACTTATTCTTCCAAATATATTAGCTAATCTCTATTTTTACTTTTTCTTCTATCCAGCCTTGCTTAGATGATTAATCACTTTATTGTCATTTCAGCATCCTCAACTTTTGTCTTTTTGACCTGTCTACAAAAAATTATAATTGTTGGTGAATTGAATTATATGCTGGAAAAAATAACATAAAAGTGTCATTTGATAGTACTACATATTTATTGCTTATAAATTTATTTAAATTTATTCCATAGACAAAAGCCTTTTTTTTTTTAAATTATTTTAGATTCAGGGGTAAATGTGCATGTTTGTTAGATGAGTATATTGCATACTGGTGGTGATTGGGCTTCTAGTGTAACATTACCCAAAAAGTGAACAATGTACCTGTTAGGTAATTTTTCAACCCTCAGCCCTGAACCCTTTTGAAGTACCCAATCCTCATGTTTGTGTATATGTGTATCTACTGTTTAGCTTCCAGTTATAAGTGAGAACATGTGGTATTTGATTGTCTGTTTCCAGATTAGTTCACTTAGGATAATGACCTTCAGCTCCATCCATGTTGCTGTAAAGAATATTAATTTCCTTCTGTTTATGGCTGTGTGGTATTCCATGGTGTGTATATACCATATTTTCTTTTCTTTTCTTTTTTTAAATATTTTATTGCGTTTTAGGTTTTGGGGTACATGGGAAGAACATGCAGGATTGTTGCATAGGTAATGTGCTTCGGCAATGTGCTTTGGCACATACATGGCAATGTGCTTTGTTGCCTTCCTCCCCATCACCTATATCTGGCATTTCTCCCCATGTTATCCCTCCCCAACTCCCCACCCCACACTGTCCCTCCCCTAGTTCCCCCCAACAAAGACTTCAGTGTATGATGTTCCCTTCCCTGTGTTTATGTGTTCTCATTGTTCAGCACCCACCTATGAGAGAGAACATGCGGTGTTTGATTTTCTGTTCTTGTGTCAGTTTGCTGAGAATGATGGTTTCTAGGTTCATCCGTGTCCCTACGAAGGACACAAACTCATCGTTTTTGATGGCAGCATAATATTCCATGGTGTATGTATGCCACATTTTCCCTGTCCAGTCATCATCAATGGCCATTTGGGTTGGTTCCAGGTTTTTGCCATTGTAAACAGTGCTGCAATAAACATTCGTGTGCATGTGTCCTTATAGTAGAACAATTTATAATCCTTTGGATATATACCCAGTAATGGGATTGCTGGGTCAAATGGAATTTCTATTTCTAGGTCCTTGAGGAATTGCCACACTGTCTTCCACAGTGGTTGAACTAATTTACACTCCCACCAACAGTGTGAAAGTGTTCCTGTTTCTCCACTATCCTCTCCAGCATCTGTTGTCTCCGGATTTTTTAATGATCACTATTCTAACTGGCGTGAGATGGTATCTCAATGTAGTTTTGATTTGCATTTCTCTAATGATAAATTAGTGATGAAGAGCATTTTTTCATATGTTGGCCTCATAAATGTCTTCTTTTGAAAAGCATCTGTTCATATCCTTCACCCACTTTTGAATGGGTTTGTTTGTTTTTGTCTTGTAAATCTGTTTTAGTTCTTTGTAGATTCTGGATATGAGCCCTTTGTCAGATGGGTAGATTGCAAAAATTTTTTCCCATTCTGTTGGTTGCCGGTTCACTCTAATGATTGTTTCTTTTGCTGTAAAGAAGCTCTGAAGTTTAATTAGATCCGATTTGTCTATTTTGGCTTTTGTTGCCAATGCTTTTGGTGTTTTAGTCATGAAATCCTTGCCTATGCCTTTGTCTTGAATGATATTGCCTAGGTTTTCTTCTACGGTTTTTATGGTGTTAGGTCTTATATTTAAGTCTTTGATTTATCTGGAGTTAAATTTTAGTGTAAGGTGTCAGGAAGGGGTCCAGTTTCTGCTTTCTGCACATGACGAGCCAGTTATTCCAACACTGTTTATTAAATAGGGAATCCTTTCCCCATTGTTTGTTTGCATCCAGTTCATCAAAGATCAAATGGTTGTAGATGTGTGGTGTTGCCTCCAAGGCCTCTGTTCTGTTCCATTAGTCTGTATCTCTATTTTGGTACCAGTACCATGCTGTTTTGATTACTGTAGCCTTGTAGTATAGTTTGAAGTCAGGTAGAGTGATGCCTCCAGCTTTGTTCTTTTTGCTTAAAATTGACTTGGCTATGCGGGCTCTCTTTTGGTTCCATATGAAGTTTAAGGTGGTTTTATCCAGATCTGTGAAGAAGGTCATTGGTAGCTTGATGGGAATAGCATTGAATCTATAAATTACTTTGGGCAGTATGGCCATTTTCACATATTGATTATTCCTAACCATGAGTATGGAATGTTTCTCCATCTGTTTGTGTCCTCTCTTATTTTGTTGAGCAGTGGTTTGTAGTTCTCTTTGAAGAGGTTCTTTACATTCTTTGTTAGTTGTATCCCTAGATATTTTATTCTCTTTTTAGCAATTGTGAATGGCAGTTCATTCTTGATTTGACTCTCTTTAAGTCTGGTGTATAGGAATTGCCTGTGATTTTTGCACATTGATTTTGTATATTGGTGTATAGGAATGCTTGTGATTTTTGCACATTGATTTTGTATCTTGAGACTTTGCTGAAGTTGCTTATCAATTTCATGAGATTTTGGGCTGAGATGATGGGGTCTTCTAAATATGCAATCATGTCATCTGCAAATAGAGACAATTTGACTTCCTCCTTTCCTAATTGAATACCCTTTATTTATTTATTTTCTTGCCTGATTGCTCTGGCTAGAACTTCCAATACTATATTGAATAGGAGTGGTCAGAGAGGGCATCCTTGTCTAGTGCCAGATTTCAAAGGGACTGCTTCCAGGATTTGCCAATTCACTATGACATTGGCTGTGGGTTTGTCATAAATAGTTTTTATTATTTTGAGATACATTCTGTCAATACCTAGTTTATTGATAGTTTTTAGCATAAAGGACTGTTGAATTTTGTCAAAGGCCTTCTCTGCATCTATTGAGATAATCATGTGATTTTTGTCTTTGGTTCTGTTTATGTGGTGAATTATGTTTATAGACTTGTGGGTGTTGAACCAGCCTTGCATCCCCAGGATGAAGCCTACTTGACTCTGATGGATAAGCTTTTTGATGTGCTTTTGCAATTGGTTTGCCATTATTTTATTGAAGATTTCTCATCTATGTTCATCATGGATATTGGCCTGAAGTTTTTTTTTTTCTTGTTGAATCTCTGCCGGTTTTTGGCATCAGGATAATGTTGGTTTCCTAAAATGATTTGGGAAGGATTCCCTCTTTTTGAATTGTTTAGGGTAGTTTCAGAAGGAGTGGTACCAGCTCCTCTTTGTATGCCTGGTAGAATTTGGCTGTGAACCCATCTGGACCTGGGCTTTTTTTGGTTGGTAGGCTATTAATTGCTGCCTCAAGTTCAGCCCTTGTTATTGTTCTATTCAGGGATTTGACTTCTTCCTGGTTTAAGCTTGGGAGGATGCAAGTGTCCAGGAATATATACATTTCTTCCAGGTTTACTGGTTTATGTGCATAGAGTTGTTTGTTGTAATCTGATGGTGGTTTGTATTTCTGTGGAATCTGTGGTGATATCCACTTTATCGTTTTTTTTATTGCATCTATTTGATTATTCTCTCTTTTCTTTTTTATTAATCTGGCTAGTGGTCTGTCTATTTTGTTGATGTTTTCAAGAAACCAGCTTCTAGATTTATTGGTTATTTGAAGGGTTTTTTGTGTCTCTGTCTCCTTCAATTCTGCTCAGATCTTAGTTATTTGTTGTATTCTGCTAGGTTTTGAGTTTTTTTTTCATCTTACTCCTCTAGCTCTTTAAATTTTCACCATATGGTGCCAATTTTAGATCTTTCCTTGCTTCTCATGTGGGCATTTATTGCTATATATTTTCCTTTAGGCACTGCTTTAAATGTGTCCCAGAGATTCTGGTATATTTTGTCTTCATTCTCGTTGGTTTTGAAGAACATCTTTATTTCTGCCTTCATTTCATTGTTTATCCAGTCAACGTTCAAGAGCCAGCTGTTCAGTTTCCATGAAGTTGTGCAGTTCTCAGTTAATTTCTGAGTTCTGAATTCTAACTTGATTGCACTGTGGTCTGAGAGACTGTTAGGATTTCTGTTCTTTTGCATTTGCTGAGGAGTGATTTACTTCCAATTATGTGGTAAATTTTAGAGTAGGTGTGGTGTGGTGCTGAGAAGAATGCATTTTCTGTAGATTTAGGGTGGAGAGTTCTGTAAATGTCTAGTAGGTCTGCTTGGTTTAGATCTGAGTTTAAGTCCTGGATATCCTTGTTAATTTTCTTTCTCGTTGATCTGTCTAATATTGACAGTGGAGTGTTAAAGTCCCCCACTATTATTGTGTGGGAGTCTAAATCTCTTTTTAAGTCATTAAGAACTTGCTTTATGTATCTGGGTGCTCCTGTATTGGCTGCATATATATTTAGAATCGTTAGCTCTTCTTGTTGCATTGATCCTTTTACTTTATGTAATATCCTTCTTTGTCTCTTTTGATCTTTGCTGGTTTAAAGTCCATTTTATCCGAGACTAGGATTGCAACTCCTGCTTTTTTTTTTTTTTTTTTTTTTGCTCTCCATTTGCTTGATAAATCTTCCTCCATCCTTTATTTTGATCCTATGTGTATCCTTGCATGTGAAATGGGTTTCCTGGATACAGCACACGGATGGGTTTTGCCTCTTTATCCAATTTTTCAGTCTGTGTCTTTTGATTGGGGCGTTTAGCCCATTTACATTTAAGGTTAATATCGTTATCTGTGAATTTGTCCTGCCATTTTTATGCTAGCTGGCTATTTTGCCCGTTAGTTGACGCAGTTTCTTCATTGTGTCGATGCTGTTTACCATCTGGTATGTTTTTGGAGTTGCTGGTACAGGTTATTCCTTTCTATGTTTAGTGCTTCTTTCAGGAGCTCTTGTAAAGCAAGCCTGGTGGTGAAGAAATCTCTCAGCAATTGCTTGTTTGTAAAGGATTTTATTTCTCCTTTGCTTATGAAATTTAGTTTGGCTGGATATGAAATTCTAGGTTGAAAATTCTTTTCTTTAAGGATGTTGATTATTGGTTCCCACTCCCTTCTGGCTTGTAGAGTTTCTGCTGAGAGATCTGCTGTGAGTCTGATGGGCTTTCCTTTGTAGGTAACCTAACCTTTCTCTCTGGCTGCCCTTAGCCTTTTTTCCTTCATTTCAACCCTGGTGAATCTGGCAATTATGTGACTTTGTGTTGGGCTTCTTGAGGAATATCTTTGTGGTGTTCTCTGTATTTCCTATACTTGAATATTGGCCTGCCTTGCTAGGTTGGGGAAGTTCTCCTGGATGGTAACCTGAAGAGTATTTTCCAGCTTGGATTCATTCTCTCCATCACATTCAGGTACACCTATCAATCTTAGATTAGGTCTCTTCACATGATCCCATATTTCTTGGAGGCTTTGTTCGTTTCTTTTTATTCTTTTTTCTCTAATCTTGTCTTTTCATTTTACTTCATTGAGTTGATCTTCAATCTCTGATATCCTTTCTTCTGCTTGGTTAATTCAGCTATTGAAACTTGTGTATGCTTCACGAAGTTCTCATGTTATGTTTTTCAGCTCCATCAATTCATTTATATTCCTCTATAATCTGTTTATTCTCGTTAGCATTTTATCACACCTTTTTTCAAGCTTCTTAGTTTCTTTCCATTGGGTTAGAACATGTTCTTTTAGCTCAGAGAAATTTCTTATTACCCACCTTCTGAAGCCTGCTTCTGTCGATTCATGAGACTCATTTTCCATCCAGTTTTGTTCCCTTGCTGGTGAGGAGTTGTAATTCCTTGGAGGAAGAGAGGCGTTCTGGTTTTGGGTGTTTTCATCCTTTTTACACTTGTTTCTTTCCATCTTTGTGGATTTATCTCCCTGTGGTCTTTGTAGTTGGTGACTTTCAGATGAGGTCTCTGAGTGGACATCCTGTTTGTTGATGTTGAAGTTATCTCTTTCTGTTTCTTAGTTTTCCTTCTTCTTCTTCTTCTTTTTTTTTTTTGAGACGGAGTTTCGCTCTTGTTACCCAGGCTGGAGTGCAGTGGTACGATCTCTGCTCACCACAACTCCCGGCTCCCGGGTTCAAGCAATTCTCCTGCCTCAGCCTCCTGAGTAGCTGGGACTACAAGCATACGCCACCATACCTGGCTGATTTTTGTATTTTAGTAGAGATGAGGTTTCACCATGTTGACCAGGATGGTCTCAATCTCTTGACCTTGTGATCCACCCGCCTCAGCCTCCCAAAGTGCTGGGATTACAAGCGTGAGCCACCACACCCGGCCTTAGTTTTCCTTCTAACAGTCAGGCCCCTCTACTGTAGGACTTCTGGAGGTCCACTCCAGACTCTGGTTGCCTGCGGATCACCTGCAGCGGCCTCTGCGTTTTCTCTGGGAACTGCAATCCAGAGCTGTTCCTATTCAGTCATCTTGGATCCCGTTCACTAACCATATTTTCTTTATCCAGTCAACTTTTGATGGACACTCAAGTTGGTTCTATGACTTTACTATTGTGTATAGTACCATGATGAACATATGAGTGCAAGTGTCTTCCCTTTGTTTTCAATAGTTATCCAAAGCTTTCTTTTTATTCTTCAAATTCCTCAAATCACCTTATTTTACTTCCTACTTCTCAGTAAGTAATTTTGTCATTTATCTCAGAAAACAGAAACAATTATAAGTTATAAATTTCTACAAACTTACTCACATCTTCCATCATTTTTGGCTTTTCCAGGTTCTAGAAGAAGTAGCAGCCCATCCTGTTATCCAAGTCTTCATTTATTCTGTATACTTAGAATATTGCTCAATTTTCATTTTCTCTTTCCTTTCTGGATCTCAATAGTGTATTTTTTTCTCTTTTTTTCTTTCTGAATCTCAATAGTGTATTTTGTTGTGGGGTTGGGGAGGGTCACCTTTATTCCATATATGAAAGAACCCATAGATCTCATTTGAACATGAATTTATCTCTAGCTCCTATTCTCTATCTCTTTTCTTTCATAGCCAAAAACCTGCTATCTCCAGTTATTCACCTTCCATCCACTCCTATAACTCCCTCCTATCTGATTTTCCTTTACCTTTCCATTGGTTCTATTTTCAATAAGATAACTAACAATTTTGTCCTTTTATGGTCTAGTAGGCTCAACTTATTTAATCTGCAGCCTTTAATATGACTGACATTGTTCTCCTTAGACATTTTTCTCTTCTTTTTTTTTTTTTTTTTTTTTTTTTTTTTTTTTTATGAGACGGAATCTTAGTCTGTTACCCAGGCTGGAGTGCAGTGGCATGATCTGGCTCACTGCAGTCTCCATCTCCCAGGTTCAAATGATTTTCCTGCCTCAGCCTCCCAAGTACCTGGAATTACAGGCATGCACCACCACACCTGGCTAATTTTTGTATTTTAGTTTTTAGTAGAACAGTGTTTTTCCATGGTTGCTAGGCTTGTCTTGAACTCCTGACTTCAAGTTATCTGCACGCCTTGGCCTCTTAAAGTGCTGAGATTATAGGCATGAGCCACCACACCAGGCCACATTTTTCTTATTCTTTTGTTTTCCATTATATCTTCTTCTGTTTGCCGAAATTTCTTTTGCAAGCACTTCATCCTCTGTCCGTCCCTAAAAATGGTGTTACTGTGGGTTCTGGCATCAACCCTCTACATCTACTCTTTCTGGACAATTTCATTTATACTCAGGTTTTACATTTTTTGAGGGCAAAGTTCATCTTTTTTCATCTGTCTTTCTGTGTAATAATACCTGACACCTATTAGTCATAAATATTATTTAAAAAATAATATTGTTTAATAAATGAATAAATTTAGGTAAAATCATCCAAATGCTATCATCAGTCATTGAAAAATATTGCTCGTAATTCCACCTTTCAGAGATAATCCTAGATCTTATGTTGGTGTATTTTTTCAGTCTTTTCTCTACCTAGTGTCTGAATTTCTTACTATTTTAATTATTTGAAAACCTACCATCTTTCTATATTTATTATATATATGTAGAAACCTTTCAAAGAAGTCCCAAAATAGGAAGTTTCCAGAACCACCAAACAATGAGGATGAAGATGAAGATGTCAAAGCTGAAAGATTAAAGGTCAAAGAGCTGATGAGTTGCCAGTGTTGTGAGGAGGTAATTTATTCTTTATGCTGTCATATTAAATATAAAATGATCAGTTCCCAGTACATAGAAATTAATCTGAAAAATAGTTTTTTGCATATGAAGCAATCTGAAAAAAATCTTTCTTGGAAAAAAATACTTGTCTACTTACCTTTGAATAAGCCAGGATTTTAGTCATAAATGGATATTTTTTTGTACTGTATCTCCTTATTAGCCAATATAATTTTTATAATATGGACATGAGGTATGTGCAGCCTGTCATTTCATGATAGGTTTTGTAACTTTCTTTTTAAATACAATTTTTCTTATTAGAAACCATCCATTATGGTCAGCAATTTGCATAAAGAATATGATGACAAGAAAGATTTTCTTCTTTCAAGAAAAGTAAAGAAAGTGGCAACTAAATACGTCTCTTTCTGTGTGAAAAAAGGCTGGTATTTAATTTTTTCTTACATAACTTTTCTAGAAGAGTAATTTTCACTTTTGGTTTGATTTTATTATGATTTTTTTTCTTTCAATTTCTTTAGGAGAGATCTTAGGACTGTTGGGTCCAAATGGTGCTGGCAAAAGTACAATTATTAATATTCTGGTTGGTGATATTGAACCCACTTCAGGAAAGGTATGATGTGTAGGAGTGTGGGATATATTGAATATGATTTATATTTTTAATTAAGATAAACTTTTAAGACAAATTAGGATTTGATATTCAATTTTATTGTATATTTTTAGCATTTTTTGTATAGCTTGATCAAATTATGATCTTTTTGGTTATCTGCAAAAATAATGTACTTGGTGAAATTTTCATACACGTGTAGACGCACACATATACAATATTTCTGCTTCTGTAATGCTTACATGCATGAGTTATTTGTCTGCCAACTTAATGGAAGACAATTTTATTAGCTCCAGGAGATTTGGGAGCTTGTTTTGACCTGCCATCAGCTAGTCTTTGATTGTAAACATCTCACTCGCCACTTTGTAGATACTTCACGAAACTACCCTGATCCCATTTCCTGCTTTTCTCCCCTTGCTTACTTTATGCTAGCCACACTGGAAAATGACAAGCATACAAAAGAGTATGCTTCAGGTTTTTGTCCAAAATGTTTTCTTTGTTTGGCTATACCTTATGCCTTAGAAATACGTACACTAAATTCACTTACCTCTTTGGTTCAAATGTCACCTTCCAGTGAAGCCCCCTGATTATTAGAATTATAGCTTTCTTTTTCATCCGACTCTGCATTACCCTTTCTGACCATGTCTTTAAACTCTGACTTAGCTATATATGTCCTTCCATCATCAAAAAGGAGTAAAACATCTGACTGGATACCGTGGCTGACCCCTGTAATCCCAACATTTGGGACACTGAGGCAGGAGGATTGCTTGAGACTAGCCTGGGCAATATAGTAAGACCTTGTCTCTACTAAAATTCAAAAAAGGAAAAATAATAGCCAGGCATGGTAGCGCATGTTTGTAGTCTCTGTTGCTTAATATTAATATTAATAGTAATAATAATAAAGGAGTACAACTCTGACTTGACATTACTCTGGCTGTAGAAAGGGGTTTTGATTCATGTACTTGCCACTCCCTTCACAGTGTAAATTAAGCAAAGATAGTAAAAATTAGTTTGTGTTTCTTTAGGTATTTTTGGGAGATTATTCTTCAGAGACAAGTGAAGAAGATGATTCAATAAAGTGTATGGGTTACTGTCCTCAGATAAACCCTTTGTGGCCAGATACTACACTGCAGGAACATTTTGAAATTTATGGAGCTATAAAAGGAATGAGTGCAAGTGACATGAAAGAAATCATAAGTCGGTAAAATGATTGTCTTTAAATTCCTTTGATTACTTTGGGGAAATATTTACATTTCATATTTTTTGAATTTCATAACAAGCATTTCTGTGGACAGTAATTTTTATAGAAAATGTTCATTACTTTTTCACATATTCTTTATGGTATATGAAAATACATTGATGGCTATAAATTATGATAACTATAAAAAAGGTAATTTTTCTAGTTACATAATGAATGTACCTGTGTCATGAAACTTATTTAATTCAAAGTGAACTATTTTATCAAGATATTAATTTATTTAAAATGACATAATTGGAGAATTTTGCCCTTACCTACTTATAATAGCTTCAACTGAGTAATTATTCTAGAGAAAACAGCATCAGAGATCACACACAATTGATATTTATGTTTATGTATCATGGTTTACTCATTTTGTATTGTTCGTTTTGCAGAATAACAAATGCACTTGACTTAAAAGAACATCTTCGGAAAACTGTAAAGAAACTACCTGCCGGAATCAAACGAAAGGTACTTTCATTAAACACCAAATAATGTCTGTATTTTTTTTATTGATAGTTTAGTACCTGATATCGTCTTGATAGATTCCTTATAATGAACGTTTGTTAATTCCCCACCCATCTTTTTCTTTCCATGTAGTTGTGTTTTGCTCTAAGTATGCTAGGGAATCCTCAGATTACTTTGCTAGATGAACCATCTACAGGTATGGATCCTAAAGCCAAACAGCACATGTGGTAAGTATGATACTTGTGACAAAGTACATCATACTTTAGAATAAAATAATAGTTTCTTTTATTATAATAGTTTTATGTTATTTATATGTATGTCTTGATTTTAAATTCTATTCAAAGGATGTAATAGTAATTAAAAATTAAATAGATTTAGAGATTTCATTAAGCTTTTAAAACTTTGCCATATTTTTCATGAAGTGTTCATAATATTTTATATATTCCAGAACAGAAATGAGCATATGGGTAATTATTAAGATAAGGAGTTCTAGTGTTCTGTATAGTTTTTAAGGCTTTTTCTAGTTATTTCACATATAAATAATCTTTCCCATAATCATGCTGTCTTGAATTCATGTTGGGACTCTTTCTAGTACGGTGATGCATTGCCTAATGACAGAGATACATTCTGAGAAAGGTGATTTTGTCATTGTGCAAACATAATGGAGTGTACTTACATAAACCTCTGGGTGGTTATAGCCTACTACCTACCTAGACTATGTGGTATAGCCTATTGCTTCTAGGCTATAAATCTGTAGAGCATGTCACTGCACTGAATATTGTAGAGAGTTGTAACATGATGATATTTGTGTATCTAGACATTTTTAAACATAGAAAAGATATAGTAAAAATACAGTATTATAATCTTATGGGATCATGGTTGGAAATATTTTTCATCATTGACTGATATGTCATTATGCAGTGCATGTAAAGTACTAATTAGTTGAACAACTCTTTTTTTTTGAGATGGAGTCTTGTTCTGTCACCCAAACTGGAGTGCAGTGGTACAATCTTGGCTCATGGCAACCTCTGCCTCTCAGGCTCAAGCAATTCTACTGCCTCAGCCTTCCAAGTAGCTGGGACTACAGGCAAGAGCCACCATGCTCAGCTAATTTTTGTTTTGTTTTGTTTTGAGATGGAGTCTCGCCATGTCACCCAGGCTAGAATGCAATGGCATGATCTTGGCTTACTGCAACCTCTGCCTCCCAGGTTCAAGTGATTCTCCTGCCTCAGCCTCCTGAATGGCTGGGATTACAGGCACGTGCCACCACTCCTGGCTAAGTTTTTGTATCTTTAGTAGAGATGGAGTTTCACCATGTTGGCCAGGCTGGTCTCAAACTCCCGACCTCAGGTGATCCACCCCCCTCGGCCTCCTGAAGTGCTAGAATTACAGGTGTGAGCCACTGCGCTCAGCCTTGAACAACTCTTTAAGCTTCTGCTTCCATGTCTATAAAGTGTAAAGTTTGGTTTGTATGCATGTTAAGGTTTTCTTATGATTCAAAGCCTGTTTTGGTTGTAACATGAAAAGGCATCAATTTTAAAGTTTATTTGTTGTCATACTTTTAGCCCATATTAACATTTGAAATTATAGATTTTTTTTTTCACTTGACAAGCTTTCAAAATGAAGGGAAAATAAATTAGAATATAAAAGCCATAGTTGGGCAGGATGTAATAACCACAGCAATTGATATTTAGAAGTTTTAATTTACTTAATTCACCAACCAGTTGGATTTTTAAAAGCCTATTTTTTTTTTTTTTTTTTTTACAAACAGATGTGTTCCTCTCTTTATTTTATTTTATTTGTGTTTTATAGGCGAGCAATTCGAACTGCATTTAAAAACAAAAAGCGGGCTGCTATTCTGACCACTCATTATATGGAGGAGGCAGAGGCTGTCTGTGATCGAGTAGCTATCATGGTGTCTGGCCAGTTAAGGTCGATGTCTTAAATAGCATGCCATTTAGGGGAAGAGGGTGGGGGCTGGATTTTGAATGTCATCATTTCAAAAACATGGTAATATTTAGTAATTTAAATGTTAAATATTTTAGTTTTTGCGTTAGCTTTTTATAGATTAACTTGGAAGAATGTTGAGTTTTTAACGAATATGACTAGTTTACTTTGAATTTGAATTTATTACTATTTCAGTAACTTGTAATACTATTTTTAGGCATTATACTTGTTATTTTAAGAAATTGTTATATGTTGGATTAATTATAGAACACAAATATGAAAGAAATATGTGAGTTTATACTTACATAAATAATTGAGTAAAGAAATAAGTGTGAGAAAAGAGGTGGATCTTCCTTAGAAAACAACTCTAAATAATATATGTAGATAATACCTCCTTCAAGGGAGGAGGTTAAATCTCCTATCCCCCAAGTTTGGACTGGACTTAGCTGGTTTCTTGTAAAAAATAAACTACAGAAGGAAAACAGTAACTTCACAGTTGAGAAAGCTGGAAAATACTACCTTAACTAAATAATGTTGTACAGATACCATGTATTCACTGATGCAATATGATGGGGAAAGTACCATAGCTGTGTGATATTCTTTCCAAAACCCATAACCCAAGTCTAATCATGAGAAAAATATCAGACTAATTCAAATTGAGGGACCTTCTACCAGACACCTGACCAGTACTTCTCAAAACTGTCAAAATCATGAAAAAGAATAAGAAACTGTCACCACAGTTAGAGACTAAGGTGACATGACAGCTAAGAACACTGTGGTATCCTGGACAGATCCTGGAAAAAGCAAAGGACAATAGTGGAAAATTGGTGAAATCTAAATAAAGTATGGAGTTCAGTGACAAGAAATGTACCAGTGTTGGTGTCTCAGTTTTGACCAATTGACCATGGTAATGTAAGATGAAAAGATTAGAGAAACTGAAACTGGATGAAGAGTGTATGGGGATGCTGCATTCTCTTTGCAATTTTTCTCTAAATGTAAAGATATGTTTTTTAAAAATATAGTGATATATGTGAGAAATTATTCTTTGAAACTGTCATTTTATGTCTGAGCTTTCTTTTAAAAAAATTACTTCAGATGTATTGGAACAGTACAACATCTAAAGAGTAAATATGGAAAAGGCTACTTTTTGGAAATTAAATTGAAGGACTGGGTAGAAAACCTAGAAGTAGACCGCCTTCAAAGAGAAATTCAGTATATTTTCCCAAATGCAAGCCGTCAGGAAAGGTAAAATTTTTTAAAACATGGTTATATTTCTTTATAAAGCAAAGATTATAAAAAGTTATTATATTAAGGATTAAGTAAAAAAATCATCTTTTTATTCATAGGCCATATATGTATTTCTCTGTGTGTGTGTGAATATATATATATATTTCTGTATTATCACCAATACTGGACTAATGAAGTCTGATGGCTTGTGTTTTATATCTACCTTAGTATTAGATTTTTCAATATTTTTCAGTATTTAATTTTTTTTAACATTCTTAGTAGCATTGAGTTATTTTGATTTGCATGAAAATGTTATTTTAAACAATTTTTATCTAAGTAAATATCAAAATTGATTATTAAATTTAATTTTGAACTTTAAACATGTTAAGCTTTGTTGAGCTTTAGAACATAATAATAGTAATTTTTAATTTTTTCCATATTTTATCTTTGTTTTCAGTTTTTCTTCTATTTTGGCTTATAAAATTCCTAAGGAAGATGTTCAGTCCCTTTCACAATCTTTTTTTAAGCTGGAAGAAGGTAAGTAGTATTTGAAAAACATTTATGTCATGGCTCTCAAATTATGAAAGCATTTTATTTAAAATGTTTAAAACTAGGGACTTAGTTTATTTTAGAAACTATGGCAGATAAAAAGATAGCCTTTTTTTTATTTAATGTAAGACACAGGTAAACACTAATGTGGTAGGGATTTTGTGGATATACTCTATTGTAATATAAACCTTTTACAATATTTAGAGAGCGGTGACACAGTTTTTCACATTGCATTTATGAGAAAGGCCAGCTTAATTATCGAGTCTTTGCAGTTAGTCCAGTTGCAGGAGCTCTGAGTTTCTTGAATCCTTAGTTCATACTGGTCCATAGAAGCAGCAGCATTATCAAGACTCCAGTGATGAAGAGAAGTCTAAGTGTAGGAGAGTGGGCATTCCCCAAAGTTTTAAGGAAGAACTTATAGAATCTTGGCATTATTAAAATAAGTGGCACGTAGGATAAATATATATATATGCTGGTGACAGTTGAGGGAGATCACCTCCTGGAAGAATCAGGTATTCATATGCAGATTATTTTATGGCATTTATAAACTGTGAAACAACCTATGTTTATGTATAAGGTTCATTAATAATTTTCAAAATAACTGCAAAATTTTATGATTGTTCTTTATGTGATTATTGAATACAAAAAGATTTCCTGATACTATATATATTCTTGTCACAGCTATGGATTCATGGATTTTCTTTTGCGAAGAACACTAATTAATTATTTTTGTGTCCGTAATACATGTATTCACATAGTCAGGTAAAGTTCTGCTTTCCTGGTGATTTCTTTCTTTTTGTTTTTGAGACAGTCTTTCTCTTGTTGCCTAGGCCGGAGTACAATGGCACCATCTTGACTCACTACAACTTCCGCCTCCTGGGTTCAAGCGATTCTCCTGCCTCTGCCTCCTGAGTAGCTCGGATTACAGGCGGCTGCCACCATGCCTGGCTGATTTTTGTATTTTTAGTAGAAATGGGATTTCACCATGTTGACCAGGCTGATCTCAAACTCCTGACGTTGTGATTCACCTGCCTTGGCCTCCCAAAGTGCTGGGATTATAGGTGTGAGCCAGTGCGCCCGGCCTCCTGGTGATTTCTTTATGACCAAAGAGAACACCTCAACTACTTATGGAAAATTAAATTAAAGGAATGAATAGAACAACAGAAGATTGGTATTACTTTATATTGCAAAGGAATCTGAAATAAATACAGAAAAGTTTATGGGCCAGGCATGATGGTTTACACCTATAATCTCAGTACTTTGGGAGGCTGAGGCAGGAGGATCCTGTAAGCCCAGGGTTCAAGATCAGCCTGGGCAACATAGTGAGACCCTGTTTATACAAAATAATTTTTAAAATTAGCCGAGTATGGTGGCATGTGCCTTTAGTCCCAGCTACTCAGGAGGCTGAGGTGGGAGGATTGTTTGAGCCTGGGAGGTCAAGGCTGCAGTCAGCCATGATTGTGCCACTGTATACCAGCCTGGGCAACAAAGAAAGACCTTGTCTTAAAAAAAAAAAAAAAAAGAAAAAGAAAGAAAAGAAAAGTTTTTAAAAATAAGACCAATATCCAGAATGTAGTTCAAGAAGCAAGAATAGGCTACAGTGGAGTTGGAGAATGGGAGATAAGAGAGCAGGGATCAAAAGAAGGCAGGAAAAGAATCACCAGGAAAAAGATAATAGAGAGAAAGTACAATAAGACAAGTAACATTAAACGTAGAACTTAGGGCTATGGAGGAATTATAGGTATGGGGAAGAGAAAGGAAGTAAGAGAAAAATAACATGTTTTGGCAGCTTCAAATTTAAGTGAGTTGATTACATAGATTTTTTAAAACAGATTGTTAGCCACTTTAGTAGTCATTGCCATTTTTTCAAATATTGTTAAGTAATATACATACTGTTTTTATATTTTAATAGCTAAACATGCATTTGCCATTGAAGAATATAGCTTTTCTCAAGCAACATTGGAACAGGTACCATAAAGTTAAATTTTTTTTTTATTGTACTTTAAATTCTGGGGTATATGTGCAGATCATGCAGGATCATTGCATAGGTACATATATGGCAACGTGCTTTGTTGCCTCCATCCCCCCGTCACCTATATCTGCCATTTCTCCTCATGTTATCCCTCCCCAACCTCCCCAATCTCCTGTGCCTCCCCTGCCCCACTGACAGACCCCAGTGTGTGATGCTCCCCTCCCTGTGTCCATGTGTTCTTGTTGTTCAACACCCACCTATGAGTGAGAACATGCAGTGTTTGATTTTCTGTTCTTGTGTCAGTTTGCTGAGAATGATGGTTTCTAGATTCATCCATGTCCCTACAAAGGAAACAAACTCACTGTTTTTTATGGCTGCATAGTATTCCATGGTGTATATGTGCCACATTTTCCTTTTTCAGTCTCTCATCAGTGGGCATTTGAGTTGGTTCCAGGTCTTTGCTATTGTAAACAGTGCCACAATGAACATATGTGTGCATGTGTCTTTATAATAGAACGATTTATAATCCTTTGGGTATATACCCACTAATGGGATTGCTGGGTCAAATGGAATTTCTATTTCTAGGTCCTTGAGGAATCGCCACACAGTCTTCCACAATAGTTGAACTAATTTACACTCCCACCAACAGTGTAAAATTATTCCTATTTCTCCACATCCTCTCCAGCATCTGTTGTCTCCAGATTTTTTAATGATCGCCATTCTAACTGGTGTGAGGTGGTACCTCAGTGTGGTTTTGATTTGCATTTCTCTAATAACCAGTGATGATGAGCATTTTTTCATGTATTTGTTGACCTCATATATGTATTCTTTTGAAAAGTGTCTGTTCACATCCTTTGCCTGCTTTTGGATGGGTTTGTTTGCCTTTTTTCTTGTAAATCTGTTTTAGTTCTTTGTAGATTCTGGATATGAGCCCTTTGTCAGATGGGTAGATTGCAAAAATTTTTTCCCATTCCGTTGGTTGCCAGTTCACTCTAATGATTATTTCTTTTGCTGTAAAGAAGCTCTAGAGATTAATTAGATCCCATTGGTCTATTTTGGCTTTTGTTGCCAATGCTTTTGGTGTTTTAGTCATGAAGTCCTTGCCTATGCCTTTGTCCTGAATGGTTTTGCTTAGGTTTTTTCCTAGGGTTTCTATGGTGTTAGGTCTTTTTTCTTTTTATGTTTTTTTTAATCGCATTTTAGGTTTTGGGGTACATGTGAAGAACATACAAGATAGTTGCATAGGTACACAGATGGCAGCGTGATTTGCTGCCTTCCTCCCCTTCACCTATATCTGGCATTTCTCTCCATGCTATCTCTCCCCAACTTTCCATCCCCCACTGTCCCTCTCCTATTTCCCCCCAACAGACTTCAGTGTTTGATGCTCCCCTCCCTTTGTCCATGTGTTCTTCTCATTGTTCAACACCCGCCTATGAGTGAGAACATGCAGTGTTTGATTTTCTGTTCTTGTGTCAGTTTGTTGAGAATGATGGTTTCCGGGTTCATCCATGTCCCTACAAAGGACACGAACTCATCATTTTTTATGGCTACATAATATTCCATGATGTATATGTGCCCCATTTTCCCTGTCCAGTCTGTGATCGATGGGCATTTAGTTTGGTTCCAGGTCTTTGCTATTGTAAGCAGTGCTGAAATGAACATTCGTGTGCATGTGTCCTTACAGTAGAACTATTTATAATCCTTTGGATATATACCCAGTAATGGGATTGCTGGGTCAAATGGAATTTCTATTTCTACGTCCTTGAGGAGTCACCACACTGTCTTCCACAATGGTTAAACTAATTTGCACTCCCACCAACAGTGTAAAAATGTTCCTTTTTCTCCACATCCTCTGCAGCATCTGTTGTCTCCAGATTTTTTAATGTTCACAATTCGAACTGGCATGACATGGTATCTCAATGTAGTTTTGATTTGCATTTCTCTTATGACCAGTGATGATGAGCATTTTTTCATATGTTTGTTGCCCTCATGTATGTCTTCTTTTGTAAAGTGTCTGTTCATATCCTTCACCCACTTTTGAATGGGCTTGTTTTTCCTTTTTTTTTTTTTTAATTGCATTTTAGGTTTTGGGGTACATGTGAAGAACATGCAAGATTGTTGCATAGGTACACACATGGCAGTGTGGTTTTCTACCTTCCGTCCCCTCACCTGTATCTGTGATTTCTCCCCATGCTATCTCTTCCCACCTCCCCACCCCCGTCCCTCCCCCATTTCCCCCCAACGGACCCCAGTGTGTAGTGCTCCCCTCCCTGTGTCCATGTGTTCTCATTGATCAACACCCGCCTATGAGTGAGAACATGCGGTGTTTGATTTTCTGCTCTTGTGTCAGTTTGCTGAGAATGGTGGTTTCCCTTCTTGTAAATCTGTTTTAGTTCTTTGTAAATTCTGGATATCAGCCCTTTGTCAGATGGGTAGATTGCAAAAATTTTTTCCCATTCTGTTGGTTGCTGATTCACTCTAATGACTGTTTCTTTTGCTGTGCAGAAGCTGTGGAGTTTGATTAGGTCCCTTTTGTCTATTTTGGCTTTTGTTGCCAATGCTTTTGGTGTTTTGGTCATGAAGTCGTTGCCTATGCCTGTGTCCTGAATGGTTTTGCCTAGATTTTCTTCTAGGGTTTTTATGGTGTTAGGTCTTATGTTTACGTCTTTAATCCATCTGAAGTTAATTCTAGGGTAAGGTGTCAGGAAGGAGTCCTATTCTTGCTTTCTGCACATGGCTTGTCAGTTTTCTCAACACCATTTGTTAAACAGGGAATCCTTTCCCCATTGCTTATTTGTGTCTAGTTCGTCAAAGATCAGATGGTTGTAGATGTGTGGTATTGCCTCCAAGGCCCCTGTTCTGTTCCATTGATCTATATCTCTGTTTTCATACCAGTACCATGCTGTTTTGATTACTGTAGCCTTGTAGTATAGTTTGAAGTCAGGTAGTGTGATGGCTCTGGCTTTATTTTTTTGCTTAGGATTGTTTTGGTTATGCAGGCTCTCTTTTGGTTCCATATGAAGTTTAAGGTGGTGTTTTCCAGTTCTGTGACGAAGGTCATTGGTAGCTTGATAGGGATAGCATTGAATCTATAAATTACTTTGGGCAATATGGCCATTTTTATGATGTTGATTCTTCCTAACCATGAGCATGGAATGTTTCTCCATCTGTTTGAGTCCTCTCTTATTTTGTTGAGCAGTGGTTTGTAGTTCTCCTTGAACAAGTCCTTTACATCCTTTGTTAGTAGCACTTCTAGGTATTTTGTTCTCTTTGTAGCAATTGTGAATGGGAGTTCACTCATGATTTGGCTCTCTGTTAGTCTGTTATTGGAGTATAAGAATGCTTGTGATTTCTGCACATTGATTTTGTATCCTGAGACTTTGCTGAAGTTGCTTATCAGTTTAAGGAGATTTTGGGCTAAGATGATAGGGTTTTCTAAATATACAATCCTGTCATCTGCAAATAGAGACAGTTTGACTTCCTCCTTTCCTAGTTGAATACCCTTTATTTTTTTTTCTTGCCTAATTGCTCTGGCTAGAACTTCCAATACGTATTGAATAGGAATGGTGAGAGAGGGCATCCTTGTCTAGTGCCAGATTTCAAAGGGAATGCTTCCAGGTTTTGCCAATTCAGTATGATATTGGCTGTGAGTTTGTCATAAATAGTTTTTATTATTTTGAGATACATTTTGTCGATACCTAGTTTATTGATAGTTTTTAGCATAAAGGGCTGTTGAATTTTGTCAAAGGCCTTCTCTGCATCTATCGAGATAATCATGTGATTTTTGTCTTTGGTTCTGTTTATGTGGTGGATTACGTTTATAGGCCTGTTTATGTTGAACCAGGCTTTCATCCCTAGGATGAAGACTACTTGATTGTGATGGATAAGCTTATTGATGTACTGTTGCAATCAGTTTGCCAGTATTTTATTGAAGATTTTTGTGTCAATGTTCATTATGGATTTTGGCCTGAAGTTTTCTTTTTTTGTTGAGTCTCTGCCTGGTTTTGGTATCAGGATGATGCTGGTCTCATAGAATGATTTGGGAAGGATTCCCTCTTTTTGTATTGTTTGGAATAGTTTTAGAAGGAATGGTACCAGCTCCTCTTTGTACGTCAGGTAGAATTTGGCTGTGAACCCATCTGGACCTGGATTTTTTTTGGTTGGCAGGCTATTAATTGCTGCCTCAACTCCAGCCTTGTTATTGGTCTGTTCAAAGTTTCATCTTCTTCCTGGTTTAGGCTAGGGAAGGTGCAAGTGTCTAGGAATTGATCCATTTCTTCCAGGTTTACTGGTTTATGTGCATAGAGTTCTTCGTAATAATCTCTGATAATAGTTTATATTTCTGTGAAATTGATGGTGATGTCTCCTTTATTGTTTTTTATTGCATCTATTTCATTCTTCTTCCTTTTCTTTTTTATTAATCTGGCTAGCAGTCTGTCTATTTTGTTGATCTTTTGAAAAAACCAGCTCCTGGATTTATTGATTTTTTGAAGGGTTTTTTTTGTGTCTCTATCTCCTTCAGTTCTGCTCTGATCTTAGTTATTTCTTGTCTTCTGCTAGCTTTTGAGTTTTTTTTATCTTGCTTCTCTAGCTCTTTCAATTTTGATGATAGGGTGTCGATTATAGATGTTTCCTTGCTTCTCATATTGGGGCATTTATTGCTTTAAATTTTCCTCTAGACACTGCTTTAAATGTGTCCCAGAGCTTCTGGTACATTGTGTCTTCATTCTCGTTGGTTTCAAAGAACATCTTTATTTCTACCTTCATTTCATTGTTTATCCAGTCTCTGTTCAGGAGCCAGTTGTTCGGTTTCCATGAAGTCGTGTGGTTCTGAGTTAATTTCTTAATCCTGAGTTCTAATTTGATTTCCCTGTGATCTGAAAGACTGTGTATTATGATTTCTATTCTTTTGCATTTTCTGAGGAGTGATTTCCTCCCAATTATGTGGTCAATTTTGGAGTAGGTGCAATGTGGTGCTGAGAAGAATGTATATTCTGTGGATATGGGGTGGAGATTACTGTAGATCTCTATTAGGTCAAATGTATATTCTGTGGATATGGGGTGGAGATTACTGTAGATCTCTATTAGGTCGTTCAAGTTCTGGATATCCTTGTTAATTTTCTGTCTCGTTGATCTGTCTAATATTGACAATGGAGTGTTAACGTCTCCCACTATTATTGTGTGGGAGTCTAAGTCTCTTTGTAAGTCATTAAGAACTTGCTTTATGTATCTGGGTGCTCCTGTATTGGGTGCATATATATTTAGGATTGTTAGCTCTTCTTGTTGCATTGATCCTTTTACTTTACGTAATATCCTTCTTTGTCTCTTTTGATCTTTGTTGGTTTAAAGTCCATTTTATCCAAGACTAGGATTGCAACTCCTTTTTTTTTTTTTTTTTTCTGTCCATTTGCTTGATAAATCCTCTTCCATCCCTTTATTTTGAGCCTATGTGTGTCCTTGCATGTGAGATGGGTTTCCTGGATACAGCACACGGATAGGTCTTGACTCTTTATCCTATTTGCGAGTCTGTGTCTTTTGATTGGGACATTTGGCCCATTTACATTTAGGGTTAATATTGTTATGTGTGAATTTGATACTGCCATTTTGATGCTAGCTGGATGTTTTGCCTGCTGGTTGACACATTTTCTTCAGTGTATTAGTGACCTTTACCATTTGGTATGTTTTTGAAATGGCTGGTACTGGTTGTTCCTTTCTATGTTTAGTGCCTTTTTCAGGAGCTCTTGTAAGGCAGACCTGGCGGTGATGAAATCTCTCAGCAATTGCTTGTCTGTAAAGGATTTTATTTCTCCTTCACTTATGAAGCTTAGTTTGGCTGGATATGAAATTCTAGGTTGAAAGTTCTTTTCTTTAAGGATATTGAATATTGGCCCTCATTCTCTTCTGGCTTGTAGAGTTTCTGCTGAGAGATCTGCTGTGAGTCTGATGGGCTTCCCTTTGTGGGTAACGCGATCTTTCTCTCTGGCTGCCCTTAGCATATTTTCCTTCATTTCTTCCCTGGTGAATCTGATGATTATGTGCCTTGGGCTTGCTAGGTTGAGGACGATTTCCTGGATAACATCCTGAAGAGTGTTTTCCAGCTTGGATTCATTCTCTCCATAACATTCAGGTACAGCTATCAAACTTAGATTAGGTCTTTTCGTATAATCTCATATTTCTTGGAAGCTTTGTTCATTTATTTTCACTGTTTTTTCTCTAATCTTGCCTTCTCATTTTATTTCATTGAGTTTCTGATATTTTTCATTCAGTCTCTGATATCCTTTCTTCTGCTTGGTCGATTTGGCTATTGTAACTTGTATGTGCTTCACGAAGTTCTTGTGCTGTGTTTTTCAGCTCCATCAAGTCATTTATATTCTTCTCTAAGCTGTTTATTCTAGTTAGTATTTCATCTAACCTTTTTTCAAGGTTCTTAGTTTCTTTGCATTGGGTTAGCATGTCTTCTTTTAGCTCTGAGAAGTTTGTTATTACCCACCTTCTGAAGCCTGTTTCTCTCAATTTATCAGATTCATTCTTCATCCAGCTTTGTTTCCTAGCTGGTGAAGAGTTGTGATCCCTTGGACGTGGAGGGGAGTTCTAGTTTTTGGTGTTTTTATCCTTTTTGTGCTGGTTTCTTCCCATCTTTGTGGCTTTATCTCCCTGTGGTCTTTGTAGTTGGTGACTTTCGGATGAGATCTCTGAGTGGACATCTTTTTTGTTGATGTTGAAGCTATTTTTTTCTATTTATTAGTTTTCCTTCTAACAGTCAGGCCCCTCTGCTGCAGGATTGCTGGAGGTCCACCTCAGACCCTGCTTGCCTGGGGATCCCCTGTGGGGGCTGCAGAACAGTAAAGGTTGCTGCCAGTTTCTTCTTCTGTTATCTTCATCCCAGAAGGGTACCCACCAGATATCGGCCTGAACTCTTCTTTATGAGATGTCTCTTTGGGTATATGGGGGTTGGGGAGCTGCTTGAAGAGATAGTCTGTCCCTTATAGGAGCTCAAGTGCTGTGCTAGGAGCTATGTTGTTCCATGCAGAGGTGCTGGGCAGGTATGTTTAAGTCTGCTGCAGTGGAACTCATAACTGCCTCTTTTCCCAGGTGCTCTGTCCTAAGAAGGTCGGGCTTTATTTATAAGTTCCTGATGTGCTGCTGCCTTTTTTTATAGATGCTCTTCCCTGCACTGAGATAGTTTAGTCACAGTCTGCCTGCAGAGGCATTGATGAGGTGCCATGGGCTCTACCCAGCTACTGTGTGAACTTCTTTGAGGCAGTTAGAACTAACTCGGTATTGGTGGACTGCCTCAGTAGTGGCGGACACCCTCCCCCCGCCTCCCGCACCAAGCTGAACCATCGCAGGTCCAGCTCCACTTGCTGCAAAACTCTCAATCCAGAGTGTTTCAGATTGCTAATTTTGTGGGGGATGGTACCTGCCAAGCCAGATCACCTGGCTCCCTTCTCAGTCCCTCCCTTTCAGTTGAATGGGCAGCTCTGTCTCCTAGGAGTTCCAGGTGCCAGTTGAAATGGCTGCCCAGATTTGTGTGAGTTTCTTTGCACCAACCTGCGGCACCAGCTGAAGCAGCTGTGCTGGAAACTCTTGGCACTTTTCGGCCCAGGAATCTCCTGATCTGTGTGCAGTGAAAACTCGTTTGGAAATGCAGTGATCACTTACTCTCTGCATTGTTCTTTCTGGGAACTGCACTCCAGAGCTGTTTCTATTCAGCCATCTTGGATCCTCCCCTCTAAAGTTAAATTTTTAAAAATTATTTTATAGAAGAAAGTATCTGATATCAATTGTTTTGGTTTGTGTTAGAGAGGGAGAGATATTGTAAACCAGTGAAAAAATGTTACAGAGTAATCTTAAACTTTATATAATTTTAATCAAACTTAGGTTCTTCACTTACTAATTTTTAAAATTTTATTTTTCAATTTGATCTTATTTTAAATTGACAGATCACACTGTCTATAGGGTAGAGTGGTGTATTGAGACGTGCACAATATGGAATGATTAAATCAAGCTTTCATTTGCTTATTTTGAATATCTCAGATTTTTTCATTTTGTAAAGAATGTGAGTCATGATGGTAGTATTTCATATTAGTGTGTTTGAAATTACATTGTTTAGGTAGTTATGAATTATTTTTTGAAAACAAATATATTAGTCTTCTAGAATACTATTCATCTTTGCATGTACTTTTTGGAAATAATTTACTCTGTTTGAATAATGTTAATGTTAAGAAATCTCTTGATACTTATTGATATAACTAGATATAGCCTTTGTACCATTTTTGATTTAGTTAAAAGTTCTTTGAGATACTTGAGATACAGAATACTGGATTCATTTATTTCTTTTCACCTAGGTTTTTGTAGAACTCACTAAAGAACAAGAGGAGGAAGACAATAGTTGTGGAACTTTAAACAGCACACTTTGGTGGGAACGAACACAAGAAGACAGAGTAGTATTTTGAATTTGTCTTGTTCAGTCTGCTTACTGGACTTACTTCTCCACTTAATTTTAACTTTGGTTTAACTTTGGTTTAAAAAGTTTACTATTCGAATGGTAACTGGAGGACCATGAAAGCTCTTGAAATTTTTCTATGCTCCTTAATTGAAATGCTGTGGTTGTGTGTTTTGCTTTTCTTTAAAAAAAATTTATGTAACAATTAAGTGAACCTGCATGTTTGTATTGAAATATATTGAACTATAAGTTTGTATGTCATCTTTTTCACCTTTCGAAAACAGTGCATTTGAATTTATGATTTAACAGAATAGTGATAGAATAATTTTATTTTGAAGTTATCTATAAGTTTATGTCATCTTCTTAAATAAGTATGTAATGTTCCAGTCTAAATAAAAAACCAATTCGTAACTAGTTTATAGAAAAGATACATAAAGCAATGTGAAAGTTTCTTGCTTCTCCTTTTCAATTTCTAAAAAAAGCACTTTGAATGGAAGTTGTCATCCATAAAAGCTGAAGTGTAAGCACTAGGAAATCTCAATATAGAGGCTTGAGGAAAGTGATATCCGCTAGGTGGCAGTCATTGATCATAATAAGTGAAACGAGACCTTGTTTTATTAGATAATTTTAGACATAGGTAATTAAGTATTTGAAATTACATTTCTTTTATTTAAAGTAATTCAAAAGTGTTTTAGTTGTTATAATTAAAGGAAGACTGTGTGTAGAATCTTATGTAATAGCCTGATTCTTTGACTCTGGCTAGAATGACAGATATCTATAGAGGTGGAAGAATTAAACTATACCTTTTTCTCCACCACTCTTGGAGCATATAAATTTTTTGTCATCTTCCTTCTATAATTGAGTTGAGTAGTCACAATCATGTTATTTTGTTCATTCAGTTACTTTAATTTTAATGTATGTGAATACATGCTCTTGTAAACAATTTTAAAAGACTCAATTTTTTTAGTTTTTATATACTCAGAATATATTTTGGTTATTAAATTAAATTATGTTCCCTTTTTCACAGTAACGAAATCTGACTCAGGAGAAATATAACTTAATTCTTAGGAAAGCAAGGGTAAGTGAGCTAGAAAGCAAAGGAGAAAAAACATCAAATATTTATTTACAGTATACAGTTCATGTTTCTGAACATATTAACTTTAAAATGTCTTAAATTACTGATCTCAAAACATTTTTCTATATCAATATAGATAAATACATAAAAATACACATTAGACAAAAGCAACAATGCCAATCTTATGTTTCCCATCCATGGTCAAATTTTAAAAGGAGAGTAAAAGCTGAGTTTACTGAGTGACTGTTTACTGACTATTAAGGCAAGAAAAAAACATGATGAGTGTACTTTACAGTTTACTTTTGTGGGCTTTTAATTTTTTTTTTCAGTTCTCAGTAAAGACTGGATTTTCTTTAAAATAATTTTTTCTTTTAAATTGGTACAAATTATCTTAGTTCGACATTTTGGTTTTAATCATTAAAACATTTTTAAAGTAGTGTATTTCAACAAATATTTTAGTGATTATGTTTATAGAAATGAATTCTTTAGAGAGAAGGATGACTATCAGTTTGGCCCTGTTAGATCTTACAGATCTATAAGATAGATACTTATATAACTTATATAAAAAATATGTATTACTTATATAACTTTACATAACTAGCTATTATTTTTATATAACTAGCTGTATATTTGACAAATGCTTTGTTAGTAGTATTCACAATGCTTTATAGGAGCACAATTAATTCTACTTAGGATAAGTGGTGTTATTATTGTTTATATTGTTGTTCTGTTGGTCACTGAAATTTCTTTCTAATTGTGCTCTGAGTTTTTAAAAATACCATACTGTATTTTTGTGTAACATGTAAATGGGCATTAATTTTTAAGAAATAGAAATGTTTATGCTTAATGTATTTTTAATTTGCTAACATTGATTTTTTTATTTTCTTTCCTGAAATAGCATGTTACCTAAAATGAAAGAATTTATTCTCAGATGAATAATTTTTATATCAGCTATTCTTATAAGGTAAAAGTTTAATTATTTTTTATTTATAATATGTTATATGTAAGCAATTGTCAATGCTGCTCTTTAAGAAAAATAAATATGATTATATTAATAGTAAGCTTTAAGAACTGAAAATTTAAGACAAGTCATTTTGTATACTAAAGTGATTTCTTTATTTAATGCTGATAATTGAATAATGAGTAGCTCTTATTAAAAATGATGCAGAAACCTGGCACTAAAATTGTTAGTATTTTTTTTTTAAGTATCTGAGGGTAGTTTTTAATTGTGGAAGGAACATTGACAATTACTTTATGTTTTAAATTACATTCAGATTTTAAACACAAACTAGGTATGTTTATAGATCTTTTTGTCTTGAATGTATTTTGTTTGTAAATATAAAGCAATCACTTTAACTTATACATTATTAAATATAACAGGTTAAATTATTCTCAAATATTTAATACTACTTACATATTCATCAATTTTTTTAGAATTTTTGAATAAGTTGATTCATACACATACTTAGGCAGTATTTTAAATGTAATGAACAGATTCTTCTGAAGTGCCTAAGCAATTCTTGTAAATCAAATTTACCTTTTTAATTTAAGAAAATAAAGTTCTCAAGAATTTCAGGCATCATTTTGTGTTGCTTTCATTTTTGTGATAGGGTCTCACTCTGCTGCCCAGGCTGGAGTGCAGTGGCACAATCCTGGCTCACGGCAGTCCCAAACTCTTAGGCTCAGGTGATCCTTCCACCTCAACCTCCTGAGTAGCTGGGACTACAGGCGTGTGCCACTGCACTCAGCTAATTTTTGTATTTTTTTGTAGAGGTAGGATTTTGCTATGTTCCCCAGGCTGGTCTCAAATTCCTGGGTTCAAGGGATCCTCTCACCTTGGCCTCCCAAAATGTTGGAAATACAGGTGTGAACCACCTTACCTGGACTTCAAACATCTAGGAAATATACACAAAACTTCCTGATTATAAGGCTTGCAACTACACTTGCATAAATATAGTAATGTGTTGTATAACAACATTTTAGTCAAGAATGGACCACATAGTAAGATTATAAAATAAAATACTGTATTTTTCTTGTGCCTTTTCTATGTTAGATACACAAATAATTACTATTGTGTGTTAGAGTCGCTTACAGTGTTAAGTATAGCAGCATGCTGTCCAGGTTTGTAGCCTAGGACCAACAGGCTATATCATATAGCCTAGATGTGTAGTAGGTTATACCTGAAGTAATTTTTTTTACCATGTGTACATATATACCTTTGCAGAGTTACATATTTGCCAATAAAACAGATACTTCTCACTATCAAGATGTATCCCTTTGCTAACTTGAGACCAAGAGATGGATGCTAATTAGGTTCTCAGTTAATGATTGGGACTAATCAAGGACTATCTATAAACTAAACTAAATAATGATATAAGCATAGACCCTGGATCTGCCTCCTAAGATTAAGCTGGCAGCTATTGAGGTGGAGCTTCTTTCATGTTAAAACTTTGATTTTTGAGCTTTAAGTTGTGAGTTAACTCAATTTAAGTTTCAGGTTTTTGCAACCCAGTATTTTCCCCCAAAACAAGATGTCATTTAGGTTTTATTATTACATTTCATCCAAATTCATGATAATAGGACTTTCCAAGTTTCTATGTTGTGACTATAGCATAGCCTGCTTAATTAATGAAAATGAATTTCTCAAACTGGGCGCAGTGGCCCACACCTGTAATCTTAGCACTTTGGGAAGCTGAGATCAGTGGATCATTGATGTCAGGAGTTCGAGACCAGTCTGGCCAACATGGTGAAACCCTGTCTCTACTAAGAATACAAAATTAGCTGGGCATGGTGGCACTTGCCTGTAATCCAAGTCAGTCGGGAGGCTGAGGCAGGAGGATTGCAAACCCAGGAGGCAGAGGTTGCAGTGAGCCAAGATTGTGCCACTGCTGCACTCCAGACTGGGTGACAGAGTAAGACTCTGTCCCAAGGAAAAAAAAAAAAAAAAAGGAAGGAAAAATATGAATTTCTTACCTGGGTTGCAATTTTACTTTCTTTTCTGTTTTGTAATTCTTATGTGTCTCATTAACTGTAGTAATATGGTCATTTTACTGACAGAATAATACCATTATTGTTTTGGTTCACCTTATCTAATTTTCATTTGTTAATATATCTTTGTCATATAGTTGTGGGAAATGAGTGCCAGTTGAGATATATATGTATTGGCTAGTAATTTTTTTGGCCAAATTATACTGTTCGTATTGTTATGTGATTATTATGTAGTTGATATATGTTTTCTGTTGACTACATTTAAATACCCACAACATCAGTGTACATGAAATCACATTTGTAATAGAATAAGATTAAAATTATACATCAAGCTTTACAAATTAGTAAGAAATCTCAACTTCTAGTGTTATCATATCCGCTAATTTTAAAAGACCTTATCTCTATCTTTTAATTCTTCAGCAAGTATGCAGCCTTGAATTTACCTTCACCAAATTAAGATACTAGATAGTTTTTGAGAGCCATCTATGATAATGCCTAAAGTCTTTTTTTTAATTTCAAAGAAATTGTTAATAGGCTGAGGCTAATATATTCAAGAGTATCAACATATTTCCTTTGGATTACCGAAAATCAAACTTTTAAAGTATCATATTTCAGTTGACTAAAAATATAGCCAGATAGTGCCTAAAGGCTTTAAAGTTCAAAGAAAGACTGCTTTTCATTATTAATCAGTATTCACAAATATTTATTGTATGTCCCTTAAGAATCAAGCCCTTTTTTAAGCACTAGGGGTATACATTATTGAAATAATAGACAAAAATATCTGTTCTCACTGAGCTTTTATTATAGTAAGACAAATTACCTACTCTAAAAAATATATAATGTATTAGATGATGGGGAGGGAGATAAGGACTCTTGGAGTGGGTGCTGCAAATGAAAGCACACTGATCTCATGTAGGTGAGACTGCACTGCAAAGGTGAGTTGGTAAGTACAAAAGCACTGAGACAAGGTGTGAGTAGCGTATTTGAGAGAGAAACAGGACCAGTGAAGCTTTAGCTAACTGATCAAGGGGGACACGAGTAGAAGATGGGTGAGGGAGACTCCAAACCCTAACCTTAATCGTAACCCTAGTGTATTAGCAAACTAATACAAGCCCCATTCCAGAATCGGCTCCTAACTTCCTTCCTAATGGCCCTTATGAACATTTTATGGACCTTCAGTTAGATCAGATGTCATTCGAGGGTTTTAGGCAGAGGTAAGACAGTATTAGGTATATTTGAAAGGAATAGTTTAGCTGCTGTGTTGAAAATAAATCAGATATGAGGGGGCAGGGTACGAAAAACCTGTTAGGAGGCCATTGCAGCATTTGATTAGGCAAGAGATGATGAGTTGAATCAGGAAGGTGATA